ATGTATTGTATTTATTCTATTAACAAAATACGTAAATGTCTGTTTTATTACTGGTCTCCTGAGAGTTACACAAGAAAAGAGCAGAAACTGCACTGCAAAAATGATCTAGAAATAAGTAAAAATATCTTAAATTAAGTGTATTTACCCTTGATTTGAATAGGTAAATTTGATAATTTGCTAATGGAATTAGTATTTTTACTAATTAATAATATGCACTTGAAATAAGACAATGCAATTGTGTGTTCTTATTTTAAATGAAAATTGTCTTATTCCATTGGCAAAATATCTCTTTAATCTCCTGAATTTAAGAAGAAATGCACTTATTTTAAGAAAAAATAACTTATCTAGATTTTTATTTTTTTCAGTGTGTCTGCTTTCCACTTAGTATTAAAGGAAAAGTCCGCTCATATTCAGAAAACTTCTGAAAGTACTTTAAATATTAAATTATTACACACTGTTCAATTAATAAGTGTTTTTAATTAAGAGTAGCTTTCATGTGAATGTGCTTTATTGGAGGCATCCATGTTTGTCAAAGAACACTACTGCCACCTACCGGTTTGTGACGTCACGCTGCGGTATCGGCTGTTGATCAAGTCCCAGTCCCAGACTCAGTGATTGCAATGAAAAATATTGCTTTTATTTTTTTACTCTTTGATGCTAAATTTATTAAATCACTGCAAATGTATTAGTTGTAGGTATAGATAATAATCCATTATCATTCTTTTTCTGACCGACTTTTCCTTTACTTCTCTTTGATATTTAATACTATAGTAATGTAATAAATCACACATCAACTTATAATCTCTTACACATGTAAAGCATATCAACATTTTATGGAAAAAAATAGGAAAACGACTTTAAACTTCATGTTTTTTGAGAGAGCTTAATTTTGAACTTGAAAATTCACATTAATTTGAGTTTATTTATTCAATGAGGACAAAAAAGACAAACATGCTAAGAAGTTAGTTTTTAACAAAAGCATCTTTAATACAAATTTGACAATTCTTAAAACTGTACTTTTTTTTAAATGGATAAGAGTTTTAGTGAACTTTTTACTGGGGTTTATGATGAATAACAGGCTAATTTCTGGAAAAACGATCTAGAAATAAGTAAAAATTTCTTAAATTAAGTGTATTTACCCTTGATTTGAGCAGGTAAATGAGATAGTTTGCCAATGGAATTAGTATTTTTACTCTTAAAATACGATAATTAGATAGTATTCACTTGAAATAAGACAATGCAATTGTGTTTTCTTATTTTAAATCTAAATCGTCTTGTTCCTTTGGCAAAATGTCTCTTATCTCCTCAATTGAAGAACAAATGCACTTATTTTAAGAAAAAATTACTTATCTAGATTTAGTTTTTTGCAGTGGGCTGGATCAAAGTTCCACCAAATCTATGTGAAAAACATTAAAACCAACAAGTTACATGTAAATAATAATAATAAAAAAAGCATTTCCTGCCCTACAATCAAAGTATAAATTACTTGAACTCTCTACACTGCAAAAACCATCTAGAAATAAGTACAAAATTTCTTAAAATAAGTGCATTTACCCTTAATTTTAGTAGGTAAATAAGACGATTTGCCAATGGAATGAGTATTTCTACTCCTAAAATAAGACAATTAGATAATATTCACTTAAAATAAGACAAAGCAATTGTTTTTTTCTTATTTTAAATGTAAATTGTCTTGTTTCATTGGCAAGTTGTCTCACTTATCTCCTCAATTCAGGACAAAGTTCACTCAATTTAAGCAAAAATAACCAGAGATGGCAAAAGTACTCACTTTCCGTACTTGAGTAAAAGTACACACTGCAAAAACAATCCAGAAATAAGTAAAAAATTGCTTAAATTAAGTATATTTAGCCTTAATTTGAGCAGGTAAATAAGATGATTTGCCAATGGAATGAGTATTTTCACTCTTAAAATAAGATAGTTAGATAATATTTACTTGAAATAAGAAGATAAAATTGTTTTTTCTTATTTTAAAAGGAAATTGTCTTGTTCCATTGGCAAAGTGTCTTACTTACCTCCTCAAATCAAGGAAAAACACACTTATTTTAAGAAAAAATAACTTATTGAGATTTCTATTTTTTGCAGTGCAGATACTTGTTTTAAAAAATACTCTGGTAAAAGTGGAAGTACTGATTAAACTTCTTTACTCAAGTACAAGTAACAAAGTACAGGCTTGTAAATTTACTAAAAGTATAAAAGTAAAAGTAGAAACCACTTTTTTCATGCCGTTGCCTACATTTTAAATGGATGTCTGCCAATAGGACTAGATCTCCGTTGTGTTCATTTTCAATCATCTCGTCGTCCATGCTACTATGCTAACGCCACCGCCACCAAGCTGCAATGATTTGCCGCGAATGAATACCGCCGAATCTGTCGATTCATCTTGTAGTGGTGCGTCAAATGCAACGTAGATTCCCATCCAATTAGATTGAATTTGGTATTGATGACGTGAAAAATAATAACGGTAACTCCATTGAAATTATTCAAAACTAAAGTAACGAGCCAATTTTTAAAAATGTAAGGAGTAGAAAGTACAGATATTTGTGTAAAAATGTAAGGAGTAGAAGTAAAAAGTCGCCATAAAAATAAGTAGTAAAGTAAAAATATCAGAAAAATCTACTTGAGTACAGTAACGAAGTATTTGTACTTCGTTACTTCCCATCTCTGAAAATAACTCATACAGATTTCCATTTTTTGCAGTGTATTTTTGGAAATAAAAATTTAAGGTGAGTTTGAAAGGAAGCAAAGAGTGAATATGGGGAAAATCCCCTATGCCCATTACTTGGTATGGTAGGAGATGTGTGATTCTGGGGGAATGTTTTCTCTCATAGATGTGTGGGCAGAGTTTAAGGCATCATGTTTTCTTTAAATGAACAGGAGACTTTAAATCAGAATCTGGTGGACTTGAATGATTACAAGCTTTTTCTCCCAAAAAGACAAAAAATGGTTCATTATTCAAATAATCAACTTTAATGTGTAGTCATCTCAGTCCACAGACACAAATCCTGTAAAAAACAGCGAAGGCAGGGATGTCTACAGAGCAACCCTGGAGTCATTATTGTTCCTTGGAAATTTTCTGGCCCCCCAACCACAATTGAAGAATGGCCAAATCAGATCACTGATGCAGCAACACATGATGAAAAACATTATATTGCAATTTTCCCCATGCAAGGCCTTAAAAAAATATACACATTTAACCCTTTTAAAATACAAAATGTAAGGTGCAACACAAAATTTTAATTTTCTATCAACATTGTTTTTCTCTTTTAATTTCATTTCATGGTAGATAAGACTAAGAAACATTCTCTGATTTTTACATTTGGGCCTTATTACTGAAGGCAAGAAACAAACAATGTTCCAAAATGTGCTATTACCGTATATAACATCAAAAATGCTAAAACTACAACACCTAATTTCCCTTAGGGATTTATAAAGCACTTAAGACTTTTTTTAACTGCAAGTTCTGGTATACTGTTTCACACACTGGAAAAACGATCTAGAAATAAGTAGAATTTTCTTAAATTAAGTGTATTTACCCATAATTTGAATAAGTAAATGAGGTAGTTTGCAAATGGAATCAGTATTTTTACTCTTAAAATAAGATAATTAGATAAAATGCACTTGAAATAAGTTTTCCTATTTTAAGAATAAATTGTCTTGTTCCATTGGCAAACTGTCACTTTTAACTCCTCAATCCAAGAACAAATGCATTTATTTTAAGAAAAATGTCTTATCTAGATTTGGATTTTTTTTACAGTGCAGATCAAGCAAGAAAAAAAAAATCATAAAATAATTTGTTTGCCATTTAGATAAATACGGACCTACATTTTCAGATTAAAGCAAAAAAAGATCCCCTCTCATTCTTCCTGGTAAATATCAAGAAAAAAGTTTGCATCCACAGGTATAAACTGCTAAAAATGATATGTTTACATAGAAAAACACTGAAATACACTGGAAAAACGATCTAAATTATTAAAAAATGTCTTAAATTAAGTGTATTTACCCTTAATTTGAGTAGGTAAATTAGATAGTTTGCCAATGGAATGAGTATTTGACTCTTAAAATAAGATATTTAGATAAAATGCACTTGAAATAAAGTGATGCAATTGTGTTTTCTTATTTTGACTGCAAATTGTCTTGTTCCATTGGCAAAATGTCTCTTTTACCTTCTCAATTCAAGGACAAATGCACTTAATTTAAGAAAAAATGACTTATCTAGATGTAGAGTTTTTCCAGTGTAGCCTAATTAAAAAAAGCAGACATATGCAGACGATTTATGCATGCACTCAAATAAATTACACTCTGGTCCTTTGCATTTTTTCCACCATGGACTAAGTTTTAGGTTGGCAGAACACACCTGTCCACCTGAAATCAACCCCTAAGTGACAAAATACCTTTTCAGATATATACCTAAGCTTACACTGGAAAAAATCTAAATCTTGATAAGTCTTTTTTTTCTCAAAAAAAGTGCATTTGTTCTTGGATTAACGAGGTAAAACAGACATTTTGCCAATGGAACAAGACAATTTGCATTTAAAATAAGAAAACACAACTGCTTTTTGTTTTATTTCAAGTGCTTTTTATCTAATTATTTTATTTTAAGAGTAAAAATACTCATTCAATTGGCAGATCATTTTATTTATCAACTGAAATTAAGGGTAAATACAAATTTGTACAAATACAAATTGTTTTTGCAGTGTATGCACTGCAATAATAAGTAAAAATTCCTTAAATCAAGTGTATTTAACCTTAATTTTAGCAGGTAAATGGGATGGTTTGCCAATGGAATGAGTATTTTTACTCTTAAAATAAGATAATTAGATAAAATGCACTTTAAATAAGACAATGCAGTTGCTTTTTCTTATTTTAAATGTAAATTGTCTTGTTCCATTGGCAAAGTGTCTCACTTACCTCCTCAATTCAAGAACAAATGTACTTAGTTTAGGAACAAATTACTTATTTAGATTTCAATTTTTTGCAGTGTGTCAGCATGGATCGGCCCTTAAACTTGTAAAATTTAAGTTAAATTGTCTCCCCGGTGGCAAAAGATCATTTCAAACTATCATTTTATTGAGCATAGGCTCTTTTCCCCAATGAGTAAATCTAATTTAATTAAGTAAAGTTCTGCAATAACAGATATGTCGATTTTAGGATCGTTTCACACATCATTACCAGGGTTAAAAACAAATGTACTGTATGTGTTCTGTTGTTTTCACCTATCAAGGCTGGCATTGCTGAGTGATGCCAGTTTTATTAACGCTCCATTACCACAGTCATCAAAAAATAGCCTTCAGCAACGGCTCGCTGTTCCATTTGAGAATCCTATCAGGGATTATATAAATAGTCTCCAAAGAGGTATACATTATTGAGTTGAAATCAGTGCAGGGAAGTCTATTTCCATCTCCGTTCATCACTAAATCCTTTAAATGAGGTAAAAGAAAAGTACGGGTCAGCAGGCCTGTCAGGACAGGAATGGCATCAAGATAACAGAGACCCAGCTTGGCCTAGAGACGAGTAAGTGTGCATGTCAATCGGAACGCTTGTGTTTTATCGGCCTTGCCGTAAACACACACGTGCTCGACTGGATTTGAAGGCTGCTGATGGAGAAGACGGTGGACGGGGTGGGGGGCGGTTAACTCGGCCCTCCAGGCTTGAGATGCTGAGTTGTCATCCAGATCACACACTATCCTCACCTTTCCCTCACCCGCTTGTCTCTCGTTTCCAATTCCTCTGGTCAAGGACATGCAGCCTGGAGGGAGCAAACGTGTCTTTGCAGGTAAGAAACATCCCCTAATCTGTTACATCAATGCATGCAGACACTCTTATGATTCAGCTCAGAAAACAAAGCAAACATGACCACCGCTACACACTTTCCTTCATATATCACCCAGATGCAGTCATTTGAACTGCATAAAAAACTAGTAATTAATCTAATTTCACAGTAAACATGTATTTTAACTTTGTAACTTGGGCTAAAAATCCCAGCCACTGTCAGTGCTTTAAAAAAAAGTCTCTAAAAGTCATGTATGACTGGCATGATCTGCCTACTGTACAGTGCTCATCTTTTCCCCGTTGATAAAAATAACATCTACATGAAACATACAGTAAAATACAGTAAGTGTTTTGGCTCCCCCTGCTGGCAGCAGGCTCACAGTACAGTCTCCAGGGTCAAATGACACAGTTCCCAAGGGGAAACCACACCTCCTTGTCCAACACCTCATCTTCCAGTTTAATGTTGGTCGCAGCCACAAAAGTCTTCTTGGCCTTCCTGCTCTTCACAGTCACCTCCAGCACCATCCCATACAGCACCGGGACATGATTGTACTCCAGCTGTAAACGGGAGATGGACACACTTCAACTATGATGCAGCTTTGATATAAGAAGCATTTAAAGAAAAAGTCATATTCAGAATTCAAACTTCTGAAAGTACGTTAAATATGAAATTATTACATACTGTTCAATAAATGATAAGTGTTTTTAATTCAGAGTAATTACATCTGAATGTGCTTTACTGGAGGCATCCATGTTTGTCAAAGAACACTACTGCCACCTACTGGTTTGTGACGTCACGGTGCGGTATCGGCTGTTGATCAAGTCCCAGTGCTGTATCCGGTGTTTGTCGCAACGCGCTATTATCCAAGTCATCTTGAAAACATTCTTCTTCCAAATCTTTACTTATTAACGCTAAATTCATTAAATCACCGAAAATATATTAGTTTTAGGTATAGATAATGATCCATTGATCATTACTTGCTGACCGGACTTTTCCTTTAAGATGTGCTTCATTGGAGAAAATGCAATTTAAAAAAACAGACCTTAAGAAATAAATAAAACTAATGCAAAAGACTCTTGGATGAGACAGCAAATAATTAGAATATCTTTTAATCTACTTAGACTAAGTTTAACTTACTCAACTTAAATTACTAATAAAATTAATGAGCAAGTTTCTTTTTACTGATAAAAATTTGAGCTACTTGGTGTAAAAAACGACTGCAGCCATTGGAGTGCCATTTTCTCTTATCGGATTTTAGACCTATGGAAGAGGATTAGGGCCACTGGAAAACATAAATAAAAGTTAACTGATTTTTTAATTTTCTTTCAATTTAATTTGGGGAAAAAGTCAGAATTCTGACTTTAATCTCAGAATTCTAACTTTAATCTCAGAATTCTAACTTTAATCTCAGAATTCTAACTTTAATCTCAGAGTTGTGACTTTTTTTCTCAGAATTCTGACTTTTTTTCTCAGAATTCTAACTTTAATCTCAGAGTTCTGACTTTTTTAGTCAGAATTCTGATTTTTTTCCCTCAGAATTCTAACTTTAATCTCAGAATTCTAACTTTAATCTCAGAGTTCTGACTTTTTTTCTCAGAATTCTAACTTTAATCTCAGAATTCTAACTTTAATCTCAGAATTCTAACTTTAATCTCAGAATTCTGACTTTAATCTCAGAATTCTGACTTTTTTCTCAGAATTTTGACTTTAATCTCAGAATTTAGGATTTTAATGTAGATGGGCACCATGAAGAAAGAAATGTGGGAGCACTCAGCTTCACCGACAAAGATGTGAGTTGTTTGAGATGGCCAGTGACACATTGGTGGAAAATTACCGAATTAGGCAACTTTTTACGTGCCTGAGTGGTCCACTCATTAATGGAGTAGCAGAAGGTCATTAAAACAAGAGAGCTAGTCTCTAAAACAGACATGGCTATGGCTTGATGCTAACATGTTTGTTAGCTGTCAGAATTCTGAGAAAAAAAGTCAGAATTCTGAGAAAAAAGTATTTTTTTATTTCAGTTTAACATGGGAAAAAAAGTTTTTTTCCCATGTTAAACTGAAATAAAATGTAAAAATCAGTTAACTCTTTTTTTTTTCCAGTGGCTCTAACCCTCTTCCGTACAGACCAGATTTTCAAACCTTAAGTTCTAGAAACCTCTGTTATAAAACAGAAGTTTGAAGGGTGGACTTTACCAGCTCATTGAAAGTAGGGTGGTCGTTGTTGCTGACCACCTTTGTCTTCCTCTTGGAGGTCTGCTGGGGGTCTGGTCTCAGCCGCGTTACCACATACGCATCAGGGTTCGAACCATTTGGCAACTTCTGTTGAAAACCACCCAGAAAATCAGTTTAGACCGTTTTTTTTCCTTTCTGTTATTATCAAAGTCCCAAACATAGTGAGAAAAATGGGAACTAACAATGTTTTGCAGGTGTTTCACCAACACGGAGAGCTTGGCGTTAGAGTAAGAAATATGCAGCTGGATCTGAGGAGCTCCTCCTGCAACACATCACATAGATTATATCCAAACGCTCTCCCGTTACAGAACAATTATAGTTATTTCTTTGCTCTTATTATCACCTGTTACATTTTTTTCCACTTTGGGACCATCTAGAAACAAACTGCACACATATTCATCCTGCAGATAAAGCAAAGAGACAGTTCAAAATATGAATTAGAGATTTTAGATTATGAAAAAAAAAACTTTCCCCTGAGATTTGACACTTACTCCTTTGCACGGTCCCTTAAAAAGCTCTTTTAAGTAAGTGTTTAGCAGAGCCTTCCTCCTCTGTGGGGTGAATGACATCTTATACCAGCCTGGAAACCTTAGTTTGATCAAAAGATATGATTCAGGTTATACATATTAGAAAAAAAAAAAAACAATTAAAAATACAAGTGAGAAAAAAAAGATGTTCTTTTACTCACTGCGGTAGCTTAGATTCAATGAAGTACGTCTGGAGACTATTATGGATCATTTCAAACTGCCTAAACGTCTTCTGACTCGTCAGAATACCATCGTCAATGGTTATCTTTAGGCTGTAGGTCTGCAGTTCACACAAAGTAAACCCAAAATGAGGAAAGAGATGGGAAACAGCCAGAGACTTTCGCAGCAGACGGACAAGATCGGAATATTTCCAACTCCTTCTAGATGTTCTTAACCCTTTATAGGGCAAGTATGCTATTGATTTTATTCATAAGTGTTTTATAGCGATGTTTAGTTTTACATTTTGATTTTACCTGTAGCACTTTGAGATTTTAAAAAAAAATTTAAAGTCCCTTACAAATAAAATGTATTATTATTAAGTCATCATTTGATCACTAGCATACCCCTTACCTTAGTGAGGTCTAGAAGCACAATATCTATATCCAGCCAATGAGCAAAGACCCTGCTACATGGCTCTACATCTTATTTTGCAATTTGACCAATTAGATGAGGCCTTGAATTATATATGACCTACTGTAAATTAAGTTGGGGAAAAAAAGTTACGACAAAAATGTAAAAAGCTACACTGGAAAAACGATCTAGAAATAAGTAAAAATGTCTTAAATTAAGTGTATTTACCCTTAATTTGAGTAGGTAAATTAGATAGTTTGCCAATGGAATGAGTATTTGACTCCTAAAATAAGATATTTAGATAAAATGCACTTGAAATAAAGTGATGCAATTGTGTTTTCTTATTTTGACTGCAAATTGTCTTGTTCCATTGGCAAAATGTCTCTTTTACCTTCTCAATTCAAGGACAAATGCACTTATTTTAAGAAAAAATTACTTATCTAGATGTAGATTTTTTCCAGGGTAATTGAACATTTTAAAAGTAAAGTTAAAAATTATTAATCCTAGTTAAAAATTAGATTTAGGTTTATAAACTAAAAAATGTAAGTGCCAGTATCAGCATTAATGCTTCTAAGGTTATGCTGGACAAAAAAAAAATGTGTTTCTTTCTCTTCTCTCTTATTATATTGGGGCAAGTTGGCGTTTCTTGTTCATACATTGACATTGATTTTTTTACCATCAAAATATCCATATATTTTTAATGTTACAAATGTAATAAGGTCTTGTCCTGGATTCCAACAACACTATTGGCTTGAAATTTAAATTTTCAGAGTATTTAACTGAGAGCCCTATAAAGTGTTAAGGGAAAATGCCTCCAAAGGACTAAATCTGGTCATAAGAAAGCTTAAAAAAGCCCAATGTGACTCGGGTCTAGGGAAGCATGCTTATGAAACAGCTCTGTTACCAAGAAGCAAGGCAGCAAGGACTCGGACACCGTGTCCCCCAGACGGGCAGTACCAAAACTGAATTTCCCTTCAGGGATTAATAATTTATTATTGTTACTTCCTCCACTACTTCCCCCACGTCAGGACTGCTACTTTATGCACTATTTGCACCATTCGCACTACTGTTTGCACTGCATACATCTGAACTGCTACTGAGTTTACTCTGCCATATGCATCATTTGCACCACTGTTTGCACTGCAGACATCATGACTGCTATATTTGCACTATAGCCACTATACTGTGCAGTAATAATAATTGCACATGTTACAGTTACATCGTTTACATTGACTATTTGCACTAGTCATCCATCAGGACCACTGTAATGTTACTTTGTAAAAATTTTCCCGTAGACTTCCCATCTGCACATTTGTAATCTTCTTTAGTATTTAAACTAGTTCGTTGTTAGATTTTTAGTTATCCGAGCAGATACCTATATTTATTTTTATATCTATATATATATTTTTATTTCTATTTTATTTTATTTTTTTAATGCTATGGTTCATTATATTTTACTATGCACCGTGGGGTTGAGAGGACTGCAATTTCATCTGTGTTGTATGTTTACCATGTAGCACATTTGACAATAAAGTTGAGTTGATTGTATTGAAGAGCATAAGACCGTAGGATGCCAGATTACTACCAGTGTGGAATGACTCTCAGACAATGGGGATATCAAACTGATGAGAGGCTAAGTGTCTCTAGCATATTAGGATGCAACACGAAGCTCGGTGGGAGGTCAGCGATAAAATATTGCTTAACAAACACACAGCTGACATGTAGCCTCACCACAACTCGCCCCTTGACGTTGAAGCCCTCGATGACCGCTCCCTGGATGTTGGAGTTGGCTGCAGGAATGTTGTTCTGGGTTATTGACTGCTGCTTCTTTGGCTGAGCCAAAGTGTGGGTGAAGAAGTTAAACTTGACAGCAAAACAGTCCATACACTCCTTAATCTTTCTACAGTGGAGGAAAACACATGACGATGTAAAACTGGAGACAAGATGCACATCCTAGGCGATATGAGTGACATGAAGGTGGGCGGAACATTAAAGGAATAGTACACCCAAAACATGATTAGCCTTCATTTTCTACTCACCCCCATGCTGAACAACACTCTGGAGTACTTTTTTGATATCTCAAATGCATCTGGAGATCTGGGAGGCTTCTTGCTGTCTGCTGACATTCAAATAATGGAGGTCCATGGCGCCCGAGACAGAAAGGTCCACAAAAGTCCACAAAAACGTGTCAATATTCCTCCATACTGCTCGTCCAATGTAATCCAAGTGTCCTGAGTGGGTAGCATCCAGAATTTACTCGAAATGAAGTCATTTAGAACGTTTTAGAGCCTAAACAGTAGTGTATAGGATTTCCTAATAGCGCCCCCATGCGCGCTCACGATTCTACGGAAGCCGGCAGACCAAACCAGATGAAAGTGCGCGTTCAGCATCTGCTCTGCCGATAATGCAAGCGTAGAAGAAGAAATGTGCTGTTTACCTGTGCAAAGAAAGAAACAACGAAAGAAAAATGTCTGAGGACTTCAGTGTTGAGGAAGAGCATGAGTTCTTTGCCGAGCTGAATGCGCTGGTTTGGTCTGCCGGCTTCCGTAGAATCGTGAGCGCGCATGGGGGCGCTATTAGGAAATCCTATACACTACTGTTTATGCTCTAAAACGTTATAAATGACTTCGTTTCGAGTAAATTCTGGATGCTACCCACTCAGGACACTTGGATTACATTGGACGAGCAGTATGGAGGAATATTGACACGTTTTTTGTGGACTTTTATGGACCTTTCTGCCTCGGGCGCCATAGACCTCCATTATTTGAATGTCAGCAGACAGCAAGAAGACTCCCAGATCTCCAGATGCATTTGAGATATCAAAAAAGTACTCCAGAGTGTTGTTCAGCATGGGGGTGAGTAGAAAATGAAGGCTAATCATGTTTTGGGTGTACTATTCCTTTAACTTACTTTGTAAAGTAGGAAGTGGCTTCTAAGTCTGTGTCGTGAGGTTTGAGTTTGTTCTGGACAAACTCTAAGTCACTGATGTCCTTCAGTTCTGGCATTCCTGCTGAAAGCATCTGGAAAATCCACATCCTTATTATCCACACATTCTCAGGCAGACCATCAGCATTAACAGAGGCTTGCAAACCCTTTTAACCTTTTCACAGTTTGTAGAATAGAATAGAATTCAGCTTTATTGTCATTATATTGTCAGAAGTACAAAGCAACGAAATTAACGCTCTGTATTATGGATGCATGATATAATCAGCCCCCTATCGGTATCGGCCTTAAAACTGAATATCGGACATCGGCCACCCCACAGATATTTAACCCGATATTTGATCAGCTTCTGAGTTTCTAAAGTCTAAAAAAAAAATACTAGTTCTTCTCCTTCTCAAAAACTTCTTTTTTACAGACTTAAAAACTTCTAAATACGAGGGAAAAAATATTGATACATTAAAATATCACAATATCTTCATATGCTGATATATTGCCATTTAAAAACACCATATCAATCTCTTTTACTAATGAAATATTGATATATGTCATCGTTATGCTACGAAATCCCCCGAAAATCCACGAAATTTTGCCATATTTTTATATGTTGATATATTGACGCGGTATCGATCTATTTTACTAACAAAATCTCACAAGAATTTGCAAAATATCACGAGAGTTTGAAACAGAACGATGAAATTTCACGAGATTTTGAAAGTAAAATAGATCGATACCGCGTTTTTAAAAATCAATTTGATATCAGCATATGAAAATATATTTGAGTATATTATTTTTCAAAGTGTCAGAAATGGATAACAAAACTGCTATTTTCAATGACTACTTATTTTTGTCCAGCTTTAACATCGGTATCGATATCGGTTATCGGCTACATGAGCTTTAAAATATCGGCATATCGGATATCGGCCAAAATCCCAATATCGTGCATCCCTACTCTGTATTTAACCCATCCCCTTGGGGAGCAGCGGGCTGCCATTGTGCGGCGCCCGGAGAGCAGTGTGGGGTTAAGGGTCTTGCTTAGGGATACAGAGTGCAGGTTCCCAAAGGGGATTGGTTAAATGCAGAGGTAAACTGCTCCAATGTGAGATCAATAAAGTTCAATTCTTATGAATGATCATCATTATTATTATAGTAATTATCTATTAGTCTTACATAGGGGTGTAAATCCCTAGCCTTGTGAGACCATCCTGATCTCGCGAGCTTTCAAGGTTTCACTCGCAGATCAGTCTGGAGACTCTCCGTTAAAGAAAATTCGGAGCCGTTCACCAAACGAACGTCCAATCAGCGTTGGCTTTGAGGCGGGTTGAGGTGTGACGCAACGAGAAGCGCGACAGTTCAGTCTAAAGAACATGGCGGATTCAGCCGTTGAAACTAGCGTAGCTATCGAGCAAGTTTTATCGGAATTACAGAGTATTTCTTCACTGAAAGAAGAGCAAAACACTGCTCTGGAGGCTTTTCTCAGAGGAAAAGATGTTTTTGCTCTTCTCCCGACTGGTTTCGGCAAGAGTAGCCTGGCTTGTGGTTGTGTTTTCGTCGTCGCTCTGTTAGTACGTCATATGCTTCGTTGATCTGATTGGTTTATTTGGCCCGTCTATCACCAACATAGGCCAATCAGCTAACCAGTATTTTCGCCCCTTCCCAAAATTACTTCAACGGAAGGTTTCCAGATGGATATGCGGAGCAAATCCATCTGGCAGAGTCAGGTTAGTAAATCACACTCATCATGGTGATTCAATTCAGTATCGATTTCCTGACCCAACGATTCGATTATTTCCGATACTTAAGAATACACCACGATACGATACGATTTCATTAATTGGAAATAAATCAATGAAAGCTGCAATAACGTTATGCATTTTTTTTTTAGAAACAACAGCAAATAACAGAAGTAGAAAAGTTGTACTCCACCTTTTCCTATCAAAACCTCATTCACTGAAAAATAATAATAATAATTGGCCCTCATGTCCCTCCGTTGTCGGACTAAACTCGCCCCCACTTCCTCACCGCCTCGGCCGTATCTAGACCCCCAGCATGTAGCACAGACCACGCTTCAATATTGAGCATAAATCAAAAATGTCTGCATCAAGCTCACTGCAACACACTGCTGTAAGAGTATAACCAGGAAGCGAGGTAGGAGGGCAAAATAGGTTTAGCGCCGCCACAGCACGGGAGGGAGAATTACGCCCAGGAGCAAATGGATAAAAATAGACTGGAGGAAAAAAAAAAAATGAATCAATTCTCTTGCGGACGTATCGATGCATCGGATCGTCGGCTGTTGGATCCATGCATCGATACAAAACAATTATTATTTACACCCCTAGTCTTACACCTGAACACACCAATCTAGCAGAGGCAGCATCATGGTCAAGGCCTGTTTCTCATTAGTAAGATGCGAATATGATGTAAGGATGAGGATTTGATCAAATGGGAGACGTGTTTGATTGGAAAAGTCTTACCAGCTCCAACATGCCGAGTATCAGAGCAGAGCGACTTCTGATGATGTTATAAGCTTCGCAGCAAAGCTCCACAAAGCGATGGAGGCGCTGAGGCTTCTTTCCACCACCTGTGATGAGGTGCTGCATCTCAGACGTGAAAACGAAGGGTTTCCTGTCCCTGGTGTTATGTGAGAGAGGATGTTTGTTGACTTTTTTTAAATCTGTCTGACTTTCTGGTATTAACCCCAATAAATTGCTTTTCTCCATCAACTTGCCTTCTAAAGGTTCCAAATTTCTGCGCATTCCCCATGATTTTGCCAAAGTCAATGTGGAACATGTGTCCGCTGTGCTTCAGCATGATGTTGTCATTGTGGCGGTCACAGATCCCCAGGATGAAGGTGACTACACACCACCCTGCGCACGACTGGATGAAGTTCGTCACCGCCTGCATGTGCACAGCAGACCTTTTAAGCAATAAAAAAAACAAAACATGGCTGCCAAATGCATGGATTGGATGACGGTTTAACCTTTTCGTAGCCCTCTTTCGTTTTGTTCAGCATATGAAACCATTTCTCCAACGTGTCTTCTCGAAGCGTCCCACTTAGACCCCACTCCTGATGGATCTTTCCCAGGGTCACAGCCTCTGGCACAACTTCCACCAGGCCTGATGACCACAAACAATGCACTTAAAGAAAACCTTAGATAAGATGAAATCAAAAAACCAATAAGAATCTCCTTTACCCTGATCTTTGCCTGTGGAGAGACATCGATAGGTGATCATCTGCAGGTCCAGCCCCTCCTGGAGCCAAACCCAGTCCATCACACGGACTATCTGGAGAACCAGCATGTCCTGACGCAGGTTGTCCCCTACCTGGAATTAGATTGCTTCTATTTGAGTATTATTTTCCACATTAGAAACCAGAACAACAAGAACTGGATCAAGCATAAACATTCCTTAATTCCCATACTCCGCATACATCAGGTTCAGGTTTTAAACCCTATTAGAAACCTAAACTTAACTTAAAATAGATATTTAAAAACTAACTGAGTACCTTTTGTAATCATAATTTAAGTTTATAAGTAACATGGAACCAAGCTTTGCATTAATCTTAACTATAGAATATCATAGTACAACTTACTAACAATGTTCATACCTGGTTTAAGACCATAATGCATCTGGAAACTACCCTAAGAGTGATCTAATATTTATTAAACAAGGTTGTTCTTATTTTGAAGAGCAAGAGTATTCCCTTTGATGTCCTCCTCATATATTTTAGAGGTGATTAATCTCTCCCTGTTACAGGGATACGTACCAAAGGCTTTAAGGGTGGCTTTAATTAAACCTTTACCAAAGGTTTTGACCCAGATGACTTGGTCAATTATAGACCTATATCCATTCTTCCTTTCTGATCTAAAATCCTTGAGAAAGTAGTTGCCAAACATGTATGCGACTAACCTGACTCCACCAGATGGATTTGCTCCGCATATCCATCTGGAAACCTTTCGTTGAAGTTATTTTTGGAAGGGGCGAAAATACTGGTTAGCTGATTGGCCTATGTTGGTGATAGACGGGCCAAATAAACCAATCAGATCAACGAAGCATATGACGTACTAACAGAGCGACTCAACTAGCTAACTCAACGGTGAGTTTATTACTTTCATTTTTCAGTAGTTGAGTTAGCATTAGCTTGCATGACCGGCTCCGTCATGCTGGTTTTCCTTCCAGAGCGCCACAAGCGTCACGTCACGTGACTAAGAAAAGGTAACAGGATTGGCTGGGTGTTGGACGCCACAATCCATTGCTAATATCTGTGACCTGAAGTAACCCTTCCCTTTTAACATTGAATTTAGACGCCGAATTAAAGACAGTGAAATAGAGCCAGTTGAATCTCAGGAGGCTAAAAAATTTTGAAAGTTTGAATTTTGAAATTTTTTATGTTTTTATATGCAGATTTTTTAACACTCAAAAATTAAACTGAAAAATAAGTATTGAAAATGTAATCACTTTGAAATAGTAATGTGAAATTTTAGCTTGAAGAGAAAATAAATTAAATTTCAACTGTGTAGAAATAATGACAATGAATTTTTTTAGGTCAAAAATGTGTTCTGAGTATATTTTAACACTAAAACAGTAAGTACAAACATACAACATTTAAATTACAGTGGCATTTTTAATTCAAATCCCAGCGACACAGATTTACTTCCATAGAGACCCGTTCTATGCATACATGAAGACTGACACTTTCAGTTTGTAGATAATATTTCACACATAATATATAACATTTATTTAAGTAAATCCCTGCAGTTATTCCACACTGCAGCTTTATTTAAAGGGATGTATTTCATACTGGTGAGAGACGGAAAGCTAAACCAAAAACAAAGAAAGTAATGTAAAACACACACACATCCACTATTATAGATGGAAACATTCATAGACAATCTTACTAACCTTGCAAATGACACTGGTCTTTTTAGCCAGAGAATCTTCACATACGAATGTGACCCCCAGAGGAGAAGAATTAGCACTGTAGAATTTGCAGGCCTGCAAGAAGAGCACCCAGGAGTAACCATCAAAACAAAACCACCCACTTCATCCACAGTATAATAGAGAGGAGTGAGAGCTTACATCCAAGTCGACTCCTTTGACACTAAATGCAGGATCTAGTGGTAGACGGCAGGTGATGCCACCTCTGAAGAACTCGTGGATACGTTCCTTTTCTCTGTTTAAAACATTCTGAAAAGTGCCCAAAGTTACAGAATGAATAATAAAAAAGGCTTTACATCTTTTCTCATTGTTTGGCCTCATGCATCGTGGCATCTTTTTACAAACCTTACGCTGAGACTTGTCAGCAAAGCGGACTTTCTGGGCCACCTGAACGAGCACTTGAACCAAACGAGCCTCATAATCCAGCTCCTTCCTCAGCGCTTGGCCACAGCAGTGCAACAGCGCAGCTTTAACTTTATTAAACCAGCTGTGGAAGTAGCAGTCTGTGTTGGTTTCCTCCAAAAGCCTGACAAAAGATTTAATCAGTTAACATTTTAATAGGACAGAATAATACATTTCATACCAGAAAGTTTAGTTCATTACAAGTGAGACACTTTTCTCCATATAGTTAACCCTGTAATGCCGAATGTATCATATTTTATACATACGGTTTCTGAAATGTTTTGCGTCTGACACCTTTTGCATAATTTAATGGTAAAAACTTTGCTCAAAATCCTATTGTACACAATCAGATATACCTGATAAAAGAGGGCAGAAGACTACACAAAAAATAATCGTAATAGTAATAAATTATTAATATCAAAAATGTATTTCTGTTTTTTCTTTTTACATATTTTGTTAAAAGGCCAAATAAGGACTTCAAACCAAAAAAAACGTAATTTTCTGTTTTGTTTTATTCTTGGATCAGGCTTTAAAGGGTTAAAAAGGGGACCCGGGTTGTGCAAAGCGTTTGCACTCCATAGAAGCAGTAGTTTAGTTATTATACTGATTTTGAGCATACTGCACTGCAAAAACGATCTAGAAATAAGTAAAAATGTCTTAAATGAAGTGTTTTTACCCTTAATTTGAGTAGGTAAATATGAGGATTTGCCAATGAAATTAGTATCTTTACGCTTTCCCCTAGAACCCTACGGACCCACCGGTGGGTCCAGCTGCTACGTGACCTCGTAATTTTAACAAACCCCCAGTATTGATGTAAAAAACACATTTGGCACAGTTTGGTGACATTTATGGATAAATGTGCCAAAATGGCCTCTCCGCCTAAGAAATTTCTCACTAATACCATTCTAAAATAAATATGATTCATCTGATTGAGTCCAAATTTGGTATATTTTTACACAACATTTAGATTTAAAAGTCTGTACTACTTTTTTGTGCTATAAATAATATTTTGGTAGTGTTTTGCAATGTTTATTTCAAAGAAAATTTTGGCGGGGTTCAAAAAATGCAAAATATTTTGTATTTTGTCCCTAATATTTCAGGCAGGGTCAAAGCTACAATGGTGCTGACACCAGAAAACCATTCTATGATATCTTACCTTTACAGAGGTACCAAAAGTTTCATCTTAAATCTAATAGCTGTGAGGCTATAAGTTATTTACTTTTGTGTGTTTTTGTCAGGCAGAAATTTATTTATACCCCCTTAGGGTGTAAGAGGTTAAAATAAGATAATTAGATAATATGAACTTGAAATAAGACAATGCAATTGTTTTTTCTTATTTTAAATGTAAATTGTCTTGTTCCATTGGCAAATTCTCTCACTTTCATCCTCAATTGGAGAAGAAATGCACTTACTTTAAGAAATAATTACTTACTTAGATTTCCATTTTTTTGCAGTGTGTAAGTTCTGTTTAGGGGTGGGTATTGCCAAAGAAGTCACGATTCGATTCGAATCACGATTCACAGGCCACGATGCGATTCTATCACGATACTTGAATTATTGCGATGCATTGCAATATTTTCTCCTCCATGTTTTGTTTTTGAATGACTCGGCACAGTATCCCACGGCCGGAAATGCTTGTGACACAAGGCAGCGTGCGTCAACACATTTGCAGCGACATCTACTGGACTGGAAGTGGTATTGCACTTGTTTTTGGCTGATGTTTGCCAACCATTCATGCAATTTTATTTATTCATTTTTTTAAATTAATAATCGATTCTTGGCATCAAGAATCGATGCAGTAGATCACGAAAATTAGAATCAAGATGCATCATCATCACGATTATTTTGCACACCCCTAGTTCTGTTATCAAATTAATATAAAGGAAACAGTTTAGAAATGACCAAAGATAATAATTTTTATCTATTCTCCCATTTTGCAGAATCTGTTAGTTCAATCTCTAACGTTCTGCTTTGTCTCATAGTAGCTTCTAGGGCTGGGTATTTTCGTCAAAGTCCTGAGTCAATTCGATTTTGATTTATACAGTTCTAATTCGATTAATTTCGATTCGATCTGTTTTTGCAATAATGAAAGCAGTTCAACTGTTTGAAAATACGTATGTATTTTATTTTTTCCTGTCATATTAAACACAAAGTGCAAACTTGTAAATCAGACAGTTTAAACTTGAGATGTGAACAAAACTTGTTTGTGAAAAAGTGAAGTGTCACTTAAGCAAGCAGACGTAGCACAGTGGGGACACAGCAGACATGCATGAGCTGCATTATCTTCACTGAACAAAACATATTTGCAGCGCTGTCTGTAACAACTACAGGGTGTTTGTTAATGTCTTCAGTCAACCTATTGGGTATATTTGCAGCTGTCTGGCTTGCAGTCATTGTTATACGGAAGAGGATTAGGGCCACTGAAAAAAAAAAAAAGTTAACTGATTTTTTTAATTTTATTTCAGTATAGTATGTGAAAAAAGTCAGAATTATGACTTTAATCTCAGAATTCTGACTTTTTCTCAGAATTCTGACTTTTTTATTGTCAGAATTCAGTCAGAATTCTGAGATTAAAGTCAGAATTCTGACTTTAATCTCAGAATTCTGACTTTTCACATACTATACTGAAATAAAATAAAAAAAATCAGTTAACTTTTTTTTTTTTTTTTCAGTGGCCCTAATCCTCTTCCGTATAACAATGACTTCAAGCCAGACAGCTGCAAATATACCCAATAGGTTGACTGAAGACATTAACAAACACCCTGTAGTTGTTACAGACAGCGCTGCAAATATGGTTTGTTCAGTGAAGATAATGCAGCTCATGCATGTCTGCTGTGTCCCCGCTGTGTCAGAATTCTGAGAAAAAAGTCAGCATTCTAAGATTAAAGTCAGAATTCTGAGAAAAAAAGTCTGAATTCTGAGATTAAAGTCAGAATTCTGAGAAAAAAGTCAGAATTCTAAGATTAAAGTCAGAATTTTGAGAAAAAAAATCAGAATTCTGAGATTAAAATCAGAATTCTGACTTTAATCTCAGAATTCTGAGAAAAAAGTCAGAATTCTGACTTTTTTCCCATACTAAACTGAAATAAAATTTTAAAATCAGTTAACTTTTTTTTTTTTTTCTTCAGTGGCCCTTATCCACTTCCGTATTGTTAGGTTTATTCAATGATGATTATAAAATTAATGTCTGTGTGTGCTTATTAAACATTTGTGCAAGGGGATGCTCCACTCCTGTCTCATGATTCAGTCAGGAGACCATCCTGCCTTGTCATTCTTGTGCAGCATCCTGTCTTTATGAACTGATCAATTGTTCTGTCAGAACAATACTCTGTTTGTAACCATGTGTCATGTTCTGTTAATAAAACGCTCTGCAGAGGAGGACCAGTGTGAGACAGTGTGTTTGAGTCTGGGGGTCAACTGTCTCTCCTTCTGCAGAAGCCGTATGAAAAATCCATTACTGTGTATTTCAGTTCTTCTTTTGCAAGCCTACATTTATGAACCCAACAGTCATCTTGAGTGCATCTTTCCTGCTCAGGTCACGCATCTTAAAACTAATCGATCTCATTCCCTAGACATCGATTTTGCAAAAATGTAATGGAATCGATTAAACTGATGTTTTTAACCAGTCCTAGTAGCTTCATCTGGTGTTCCTGTTTGGCTGTGACATCATCCTGGAGATAAAATAAATTGAATTGAATTGTCATCAAAGTGGGAATGATAGCATGCAGGTCTCCAAATAATTTCTAACTTAAAATTAAATAGTGAAAAGGTTCACAAGATAAAACATTGCAGGCAGCCAGTCTTTGTATTAAAAATGGACAGCAGAGACCAGACAGTTGTTTGTATTTAAAACTTAAAAGAAATACAGAACTCCACTCCAGACTACAGGCCTCACTTTACTATGTAAAGTATTCAAGTTTATAATAACAGCATCAAAGCCTGAACAGGTTTAACAGGTAAAGTATATTTAGCAGCTGTGAAGGAGAACACACCTTCTCTGTAAACAGAATCTGGGAGCATGACTTGCAAGTCATGAATAAACAGGCAGGTTTGTCCTTTGGACAAACTGAATCACAGACATGTTAAAAAATCTGGAGGTACATGGTCAATGGTAGCAAAACGTCTGGATGCCACCTTAGGTAAACATCTAAGAACTCACAACAACATCATAAAGAAAGAGAGGAGCGAAACGATGAAAACAACCATAAGGTTTTACATGAAACACCTCCTGAAGTTAATGTGGTTCCACCAGCCATCCACTCCCAAAGCATATTTCATTTTGCAGATGAACTTCCTTCCTCATATCCGAGAAAATCGAGCCGTATGACTTTTCCTGGGGCCAACCTTTGACTCTATCCACTTTTTCGCAGCCATGAGCAATTTTCTCTCCTTCTTCACCTCCCTCCCCATCTTCGCAGTCAGACTAATTATAATCATTAACCTAAATAGCTCTTCTAATGCTGAAGAACTGATACGTCAGTTAAATCTGTCCGACATGTCTGTACAGACTCCTCCTTGCAGTGTGAAAAGTAGTAATGTCATATACCGCATGCGCAAAGAGATATTTTCAAATCTTGTGAAATTTTTGATCAAGTACAGTCTGTGCAGCAGCCTGTTCTTACCATAAAATACATTCCATTGAGCAGAGAACATTTGAGTAAGGCAAAATCATTTTTTAGATTTATTTAGAGTTCAAAAATTTTTGCTTTAATGAAGTCTACCTGCTCCCAAAGTAAAAACTTACCAGTATAGCTGCTGAGCAATCCGGATGTTCTTCAGGGATCTCTCCAACAGCAGCATCACCAGAGGTCCATCAAGTTTCCATTCACTCTTCAGAGCCTGCAGGAAAGAAATTAAGAAATGGTCGTATTGAGTCACCAAATCAATGCATTTAAATGTTCTTAAAGTTGCATGGCTGCATGTGCATCAAGTTTGGTGTGAAGAAACCTGACTGGCCTGCACAGTGTGCTTGCCTCAGCCTTGTGGAAAACATTCATGATGCTGGAAGAGGGCTGAATTCTTATTTTCTTATCTAAATAAAAACCCCTTCCATGCTTTCTTTTACATACCTGGACAAGCTGGGGCAAAAACATCTCGAACTCTCCGTCTGGAATCTCTCCAAAATAGTTAACTGCAGCTTTTCTGACTGTCTCATCTGGAAAACTGCAAGAGAGGTTTTTAGAAAGCAAAAATAAATACATAACAAAACAGAAACAACAGGTGTGTTTGCCAAGAGAAATATTAAAAGAGCTGCTCGATTAGTACATGCCAGAAATGCAGGAGATTCAGACGACAGTCCTGAAAAACTAAATGCTACAACAACTGTAAACCAGAAAAGCAACTACTTTCTATGGAACACACAGCTGAAACCAGACACACTTAAAAAAAAACACCTGTAATCAAACTAAACTTTTCAATTTTGAAGTTACTGATTTCTATTAGGTTAATGGCAAGATGTATGGAGATATTTTTCTTGTTACTCAGAGTACATTATGGCGTTTTAATACCGCATGTAGCAACCATCTAATTGTTTCCGGTTAGGGGTGTAAATCACATCCATCATGGCGATTCGATTCAGTATTGATTTCCTGACCCAACGATTCGATTATTTTCGATACTCAAGAATACACCACGATTTTGATTTGATTCGATTAATCGGTTAATTTATATTTTTATTATTTATTTTTTTTTACACCTTACAGGCTAAACAAAGTTTCAAGTTTGAAATAAATCAATGAAAGCTGTACTATCGTTATGCTTTTTTTTTTTTTTTAGAAACAACAGCAAATAACAGAAGTAGAAAAGTTGCATCAAAAAATACTGCACAAAATCAGTGCAATGAGTGCAAAGCAATACCTGGGCTCCAGACGTCCCGCCCCCTCCACAGACGCTCCGCTGCTCCTCTCCCAAATTGTAGCTGACCTCAAACAGTGCCGCAGGCAGGAGGCCGGCTTGTTTTGTTTCTATGACCGAAATTGCGGAAAACAACTCGTGAAGTTTGACCCGCTAGAAGAGCGAGGTGCGCGAGAACACTGGGACCCTTTTTCCACCTGGATCTCCGTTCTTTTTGGCCCTCATGTCCCTCCGTTGTCGGACTAAACTCGCCCCCACTTCCTCGCCGCCTCGGCCGCATCTAGACCCCCAGCATGTAGCACAGACCACGCTTCAATATTGAGCATAAATAAAAAATGTCTGCATCAAGCTCACTGCAACACACTGCTGTCAGAGTATAACCAGGAAGCGAGGTAGGAGGGCAAAATAGGTTTAGCACCACCGCAGCACGGGAGGGAGAATTACGCCCAGGAGCAAATGGATAAAAATAGACCAGAGAAAAAAAAAACATGAATCGATTCTCTTGCGGACGTGTCGATGCATCGGATCGTCGGCGGTTGGATCGATGCATCCAACAGCTGCATTCAAAGGCTAAGTTACTGAGTGACTGAGAGTACGGTGTGATGATGTAATGTTAGTATTGCAGTGTTTCCCGCAGCCCTATCTTGGCGAGGTGGCCGCCTCGCCAAACTCACGCTACCGCCTCGCCAACATTTAAAAAAAACAAAAAAAAACAAAGTTTTAATTCATTGGCAGGCCCAGACCTTAAAACAGCATTGATAACTCTACTGATAATACTGAATTGCGACACCCTCTGGTTGGTTATATTACTACGCCATGGCAGAGGAGTACATTTTCTTTTATCATCCGAGTAATAATTTTTACTATGTATTGGAATGTAATTTACGGTGGTGTAAGGTGCTGGAAAAAGTTTTAAAATGGATCTTGAAAGTGCTTGAAAAGTGCTTGATTTTGACTTTGGAAAAGGTGTACGAACCCTGATATTACCTGGGAGTAAGCAGGAAAAGAGCCTCCTCTGGCAGATGGATGAGCCATTTATCTACCACAGTATAGATTTCTGTTAAGTCTTCAGGCTGCCACCGGGGGACTCCACTGAGCAGAAGGTGTAGAAAGGTATTGGTTTTATCTGCACAGTCACGTTTGCTCCAAAGGAAAGACCTCTCAGTTTCTTTCAGGCTGAAAATGCAAAGAAAACCTTTTTTTTATAAAAAAAACAGAAAGAAGATACGTTAAACTCCTGTTATTCAGAATTAGGTACCAAATGTCGCCAACTTACAAACAGATGCAATGCTTTTTGGAAACATTCAACATTTTACTTTGAACTTCATCACAAGGCTGAGTGAAGGTGATTGACTCAGGGAGGGCGATGGGTCTTTGGTATTCCCACTCATACTGCTCTTCAAATTCAAGCTGCAACAACAAATTATAACACATGAGAAGGTAATTTGATCCTACAGTCAAAGGTGTGTGTATCCTGGTAGTACTGACCTGCAGTATGACTCCTGTGGGCTGTCTGTGGCTGTCAGACAGGGCAGGGGATGGAGGAAAGGGTAGTTCAGCCAGAGTGGACATGCTGAGCAGGACAGTTCCTCCAACCAGCGTCCTAAACAAACAGAAAAACTAACATAGCTTTTAAACATCACAGACATTGATTTAGCCTTCATTTAATTTGTCTTAAGAGATTTCTTTTTCATAGAAACAAGAACTGGTGCAGAAGCTCAAAAAAGAAAAGGATTTTCTCTAATGCATACAGGGTCAATACACACCTAGGCTCATATATGCTGCTGCATCTGCCTAAATCTTTTATCTAGTTGTATTATTGCATCTAATTATCAAGCCAAGGGGCTCAACTGCAGATCAAAATCTCTTATCACCATCTTAAAGGCGGATTTGTTTGACAAATAAAGTCAAGGTCAGGCTTCCTTCTAGCATCAACGTTTCCAAGCTGTTAAAATTTGCTGTTTTAATACTATTAACGTTTAAAACCACATTTTGCCTATGATTACAATATTTTTGATTGGATCTTAAAGAAAGCAGGCGATTTAAATAACACCCTAACTATAATAATAAATATAGTATATTACTTTAGCTGAAGAACAAATATAGATTTTTTGTTTCAAACAAAAGTGTTAGAATAATTGTATATAAATGTATCTGTGTAGTGTTATCATGCATAAAGCTGTGTGCTATGTGCATGTGTTTATAGCCATTTTTTCTGAAGTATACTTTGATTTGTAGATTTGCTTTTGGGGAGGTTGAGGTTGATCTACGAGCAGCACTAAACCTGCTGAACTTTGGTGAACAGCTTCAACAGCTTAAAGTTTGACTGAACCCTGAGATTTAGAGGACATGTTTACTGAGACTGCAAGTCTGAGGTTCTTATGGGTTTCCCCCCGTGTAGTCTCAGGTGGGACCACTGATTCCAATAAATAGCAAGGAGAACGCTGGGACTGCAGAGTGAGGTGGAGATTGTAAACTCCGCAGTCTCTTCCTACTCTCCTCACGAGTAAACTAAATTAATTGTCTCTGTGTCTTCTTTCTTTCCCTGCATGTATGTATGATGTTTTAGATGCTTAGACCTGACAAAAAGCAATGAGATCCCATGACTGTGGTATATTATAAAACCTTGAAAATATCGCTCGACCTCTGCCAAATAAACATGGAAACTATGGAGGATAAAAAGTACCAAAATTTAATAAATAAATACAGCATTAAATAAATAATTAAATGTGTCAATAATTACTTAAATGTGGAATTAGATAAATAAATGTGTCATTCATTAATTAAAACCACGTCACTAATATAAAATGCCACAATTAAATAAATACAGCGAAAAACAATTAATTAAATGTGTAATTCATTAAATAAATAAGGAATTAAATATATAAATGTGTCATTAATTTAATAAAATATGTCTTCATTTTATTAAATATATATATATATATATATATATATATATATATATATATATATATATATATAATTATTTCTAGGGCTGGGCGATATAGAAAAAAAGCTTATCGATAAAAAAAAATGCACATTGATCGATATCGATAATTATTGAAAAAATTTGAAACCATATTTTATGTGCAGCTCTGCCTGGACTTTTTATAATATTGCTAAATGATTTAATTATAATAAAGAACACGAACACAGACTTCTAATTAAATCTTTATTTAATCAACTTTTTTAACCATAACCATTTATTTATTTATTTATTTATTTATTTCCACATTTAATTAATGAAAGACACATTTAATTATTTATTTAATGCTGTATTTATTTATTTAATTTTGGCACTTTTTATCCTCCATAGAAACACGTAAAATAAAACTTAATAAAAGACACACTAGCATAGTTTTACAGCCATTTCTAAGGCTGTCAGTCATATAGGTTTATACAGAACTACAGTCTTTTGTCAAGATCTGTAGGCGGACTCAAGCTGTGTGTTGAAAGCGTGTTGAGTCAGATGGAAAGTCCTACTTTTCCATCAACACCTGCAAGCACAGCTGGAGAAATGCTTTAAGGGACAAACACTGGGTTATTTTGGGACATAGAACCCAGAAACTGTTTGGTGGGGTCATTTGAGCCTTTAAACAGTTGGGACAGTTTTCCAACAATGGACATCCTGCTGATAGCATCCTGCTCCAAGGCGGATTTAATGCTCCTTTATTCTGCTGCATTACACCAAGTGGAAGAAACAATAAAAGGAGGAAGTTCTCTAAAATTGTCTACTTGACATAACTGGTTGTTACTTCAGCTCGACAGCCTTTGACCTGATTCTTTAGATGACGTAATACGGGATTGATTAAAGCTCTCACTTTGGTCCAGACATTCAGCCAGGTGTTTGAGGCTTTTAAAGTGAAATGATTTTAAACTTTATGAGCCTAACAAACTTCCCATTAGGAGTAAACCTACCTATTGTTATAGAGGGGCAGCACCGCCCAGCTCAAACTTTCGGAGATTTTCCCTCGCTTTGTGCCTTTAAGGTGAAATGTCAGCATGCACTCATACGGTAACTCATTAACTCGAACAGGAAACACCATTCTGAAATATAAAAAAAAAACAACGAGACATATTTTGTTATCTTTTAAAAATTAAGCCTTTCATTTAAATATCTTTTAAGCAACATGGACAGATTGTATTTAGAGTAGAAAACATATTTCTGCCCTTACAGGCGGTTACAACTGATGTTGTTTCCGTGTGACAAGGCTGTGCTGATGTTTTCTGAAGCGCCGGTCTCACAGATTTTTGTTTCTCCGTACGTCAAGTCACAGGATACGGAAAAACTTTCATAGCTATAATTGTGGAAAAAAGGGAGAGAAATAAAAAAAGTCAGTTTCTGTTCTGCAGGAATGAAGAAGAAAGAGTTTGAGTTTGCTCATACTTCATCCAGCTCGGGTTCAGCTTGTAGAGAGATACTATGCTGAACTGCAGGATTTCCTCGTTGTCATCAACGTCACGGGTTTCGGGTCTGCCGATGAGACTCTGGGATCTGAAGTCTGACTGGAAGTTGTCAAAATATATTTGGAGCACTTTGAGTAGCGCCCCATTCAGCATGATCATGGCTGCAAAACAGAAACACAATAAATGAAGAAGTGGTACGTATGTTAATATTTTACATCATTGTTGTCGGAAATTTTTTATCTCTCTTCTATTATTTATTAATTTATCCTATTTACTCGCTATAAAAGTTTTCACTGTCTGGTTCTCTCTCAAGGACACAGAATTCTCTGCAGGATGGTGTTTGTAGACCAGATATAGCTTCTTCCCATAACAAACTAGATTCTTTCTCAAGTAAGGGGGGACGAACGCTGTCCAGATTAGAACAGTGTGCCATTAGGGCTTCATGATGACTGTTCTCTCTTTGCAAAGATATGAATAAATCTGCCGACTGAGTGAAATCCATCGATCTCCATTAATTTAACTAGGATGAATAGTCGAATACTTTTTTCCCACGACAATCATAAATGTGGATCAACATTAGCAAATGAAGAGAACCCTCTAGAAGCCTTAGTAAAGACGTGATATGCTAACCTGATTACACAAAAAAAAAACATTACTGACACAAAGATTCACCTCTTTGCTGCTGATATAACCAAAGTCATTTTTGTAGAAATCGAGGAGAGGCTTTTCACCCTAAAAGCATAGTGCTGGAAGCATTTTTTTTGCTGTCAGTGGAACATTTTCATTGCATAAAGTGCGTGAAATTCAGATTATTTAATTTGACCTCCAATGAGTTGGTTGATCGTTAAAACTTAGATACAAGTGGTTGTGCAAATTTTTTTTACTTGATAAAACAGACCAAAGTGTAGCTTCTGGAATGGCACCAAGCTTTTGACATTTCTTAATATTGACTAAAAGCAGAGCCAAGACCTGGAAATCAATGTTAGTTGTAAGTTATAATGATCTCCATCTGTATGCCAAGAAGTGGGGTTAAATATCCATCCTCAAATGCGTTGACCTTGTTAATAGACAAACTCTGTTTCCTCATGGTTGTGAAACTAAAACACCCTCCCACCTCTAACAGGCATATTTCTATATACCAATCAAATGCATTTTTTATAGATTACCACACACACTATTAATAAAAATATGTATTGTAACAAATAAATCCTTGTATTCTTTCCAATGACAATAAAGCTTCTTGTTGAAAGTTAACCTGTCTCCGCCAGATGGATTTGCTCCACATATCCATCTGGAAACCTTCTGTTGAAGTAATTTTGGGAAGGGGCGAAAATACTGGTTAGCTGATTGGCCTATGTTGGTGATAGACGGGCCAAATAAACCAATCAGATCAACGAAGCATATGACGTAACAGAGCGACGACGAAGAGGAGCCAATTGATAGATCAAACTCTTGCCAAAACCAGTCGGGAGAAGAGCAAAAACATCTTTTCCTCTGAGAAAAGCCTCCAGAGCAGTGTTTTGCTCTTCTTTCAGGGAAGAAATACTCTGTAATTCCGATTAAACTTGCTCGATAGCCAAGCTAACGCTAGTTTCATCGGCTGAAGCCGCCATGTTCTTTAGACTGAACTGTCACGCTTCTCGTTGCGTCACACCTCAACCCGCCTCAAAGCCAACGCTGATTGGACGTTCGTTTGGTGAACGGTTCCAAATTTACTTTAACGGAGAGTCTCCAGACTGATCTGCGAGTGAAACCTTGAAAGCTCGCGAAATCAGGATGGTCAGGAGGGCCACTCTGGGTCCCTGAGCAAATGACCCTTAACCTCACACTGCTCCCCGAGCGCCGCACAATGGCAGCCCACTGCTCCCCAAGGGAATGGGTTAAATACAGAAAATTCATTACGTTGCTCTGTACTCGTGACAGTGCAATGACAATAAAACGCTGGAAATTAACTTATTTATAGTTATAGACCTGCTAATTATTTTAAATGTTATGTTGTATTTTACTTTATATGATTTACAGTCATTAACATATTTTATTTCAATACATAGAAAAAAAAAGCAACAAAAACCACAACTTCAGGAAGAAGAATACAATCTAAAGGAGTAATATGTTTAGGGTTAAAGAAATGAGGGTTAACATATAGCTTAGTAAGGACGTGTCATGCTACGTTCACACCGCAAATGATTGCAGCATCAAAAAGGAACACCTGCTGCTTCATTTTGATGTTTGTCCACATTAAGGTCGGACGCGCTGCTCTTGAGGCGCGTCTAGTAAAGTGTGTCCAGATGCGTCTGATGCTCCTGCTGCAGAAAGCGGTTTTGCTATATTTGCTGTGATCAGTGGGTAAAAAATAGTTTTAATGCATTTTTAAGTGAGAAAGTCGAGCTGAAAGCATTATCTGTCCAGTCAGCTCATCCAGATTAATATCCTGTCTTCAAATATTATTTCTCCGTTGGAGGCACTCAGACCCCCACATACCGGCGGTGCGCTGTCACTGGAAATCCCCAGCAGCAGCTGCAACAGGCCCGGCCGCCTCTTGAGGGTTTTCCCCTATTGTTGGTGGTGAACGGAAGTAGATTTTTGTGTTTTTCAGGTATGTGGTACAAACTGCAGGCACCAGGATAATAAAAACGAAAGTATTTTGCTGGCAGGTTTCGACATTTTAAGTTAGTTTGGCCATTAATAAACAGTTCCAGAGGAGTGATCATAGCACTCTGCATCAGCAGTGCTGTGTCTGCCTCACTTCCAAGCTCAGATCAGCTTCTCTGATTTGTTGATATGGCTAACGCTAGCTTTTAATTGGCTGAAGCCACCATGTTCTTTAGACTGAACTGTCGCACTTCTCGTTGCATCACACCTCAACCCGCCTCAAAGCCAACGCTGATTGGACGTTCGTTTGGTGAACGGCTTCAAATTTACTTTAACGGAGAGTCTCCAGACTCATCTGCGAGTGAAACCTTGAAAGCTACACTCCCACGGCCTGGCAATGAACTTATTTATAGTTCTAGAGGTGCTCAATTTTTTACATTTTAAGTTTTATTTATTTCATCATTATTGAAAAGTTGTCATTTCTATTAGCAGCAGATGGTCAAACTCTATATGATTTACATTCAATTAACATATTTAATTTCACTACACAGAAAAAACTAAACAAAAACTGATAACTTCAGGAAGACTAAAATATAAAGGATAAATATGTTTAAGGTTAAGGAAATAAGGGTTAACTTTTAAAATTAAAATTCAACGGGAAAAGCTTCCGGAAACTGTATGTAATAATGTATGTATTGTAGGGTTGTCAGGATACTAAAGTTTTCAACTCAATACCGATACCAAGTAAAATATTTAATCCTCGATACCCTTTTGATACCACAAGAATAAAAACAAATACTCTAAAATTCAACAAAAATATTTTCATTACTAATAAAATACAAGAAAAAAAAAATAATACTTTGAGGTTGTATGCTGTGCACAATATTTAGCAAGCTTGATAAAAAACTTGCAAAATTAAAATTAAGTGGCCCTTCCTTGGCTACGCTTTACACACATAAAAATGACACTAGCCAAACCGGTTAAGAAACAAAAATCATTCTCAGCAGCTGCACCTGTTACAAAAAAAGTCTGAAACTGAAAAATTCACAGAATTATTCAATCACAGTGTTCAGAAAGTGCATTTTCCACTATTCTGCACTTTCAGTATCAATACTTTTTTGCGTATCGATACTTTTGACAACCCTTATAGCTATTTTTTTCATTTTGCCTTTTTTTAGCCTTTCATAGAGATGTTGCAGAAAGGTGGCTGAGATCAGATCAGCCCAAAGAGGACAAATAATAGGGTCAGACTTTTGCTTCATCTGACATGTGCAGCCTCATGAGCTGACAAACAGTGGTGTCAAAAGTACACACATTTGTTACTTAAGTAGAAGTATAGAAACTGCAGTTTGAAGTTGAAGTATCAAGTAAAAGTGAAAAATTATTTGCCCCCAAAAAACTACTTAAATAATAAAAGTATAAAGTAACCTTTAAAAAAAAAAGCCAGATGCCACTATGTAAACTGAAAGCTACATTTTTCGACTATTGCGAAAAATTCTTTGAGATAGTGCCAACAATTCAATTCAATTCAGTTTATTTATTTTCAGTTTATTTTTTCAGATGGAGCTTGGCCATTTAAGGCTTTACATGTGAGAAGGAGGATTTTAAATTTTATTCTGGATTTAACAGGAAGTCAATGAAGAGAAGCCAGGATAGGAGAGATATGATCTCTTTTTTAAATTTTCATCAGAACTCTGGCTGCAGCATTTTGGATCAGCTGAAGGCTTTTAACTACAGTTTGTGGACTTCCTGATAGTAAAGAATTACAATAGTCCAGCCTTGAAGTAACAAATGCATGGACTAGTTTCTCAGCATCAACCCTGGACAGGAGATTCCTAATTTTTGCAATATTCCTCAGATGCAAAAAGGAAATTCTAGATTTTTTACTTTATCTGAAATCAGTTTAATCCCATCCAAATGAAGGGAGGTCATTTGGATGGGCCAGCCAATACGCCAGCCAATGATCTGCATTGGATGGCGCACATGACGGGAAATAAATATTTATAAACATGAAACCGAAGCAAAGAGTAACGAGTAGCGTTTGTTTTAAAAATGTAAGGAATAGAAAGTACAGATACTTGTGTGAAAATGTAATGAGTAGACGTCAGAAGTAGGGGGAAAATAAGTAATGGAGTTAAGTATAGATACCTAAAAAGTGTACTTCAGTACAGCAAAAAAGTATTTGTACTTTGTTACTTGACACCTCTGCTGATAAACATTTCCTGATCAACAGGAAATCTGTAAATCTGCAGCAGAAAACCACACAGTATGTGGCTCATTTTACTCTATTCATGAGACATCTACTCCAAGCTTAAATCAGCTCATCAATTACAATTAACCACCTTTTAACCGGCTTTATAAATGCTGTTATAGAGACTCACCAGCTTCACACTCCATTACTTGATCTTGGCTCTGTAAAGGAAACAAATGTATTGTAACTTTATTCAGCTGATTGATGACATATGTACACAAAGCGCTTACAAAGGCATTTATGATACCTTAACTTTATTCTGTATTATATAACATTGCAGCTTTATTGGTTAATGTTTTACTGCTTCATGTGATAGACCAACACAACGTAGTGACATCACTGTGAAGTGGAAAGTACATTCAATTCAATTCAGTTTATTTCTATAGCGCCAATTCACATTGCATGTCATCTCAAGGCACTTTACAGTTCATCAGATCATCCAGTCGGATTGATTAAAGGTTTTCTATCTAAGGAAAACTAGTTGATTGCATCGACTCATTGACTCTTCAGCAATCCCTCACACTAAGCATTCTTCTAGCGACAGTGGAGAGGAAAAACTCCCTTTTTAACAGGAAGAAACCTCCAGCAGAAGTAGATAACACAGTGTTTTTTAAGTGTAATGTGCACATTTTTTTTGGCTCTTCCCTTAAATCTAAACCTTATATAATTACTTTAATCTGAATTTAGCAATTTTGATTCTACTGCACCAATCAGGTGGAGGCTAGCTTTCAGAAGTGATTTCAAAGTTTTGCCAAATATTCTCAGTTGAATTTAGAACCAATGCATGAATATGCTTTGATTAAAACATCGCTCATTAGCTCTGACTGTGAGAAAGTTAATTTCCAAACGAGCCTCAAGTCTTTTGCAGCCTCTAAATCTTTACTCTGCATTTGCACGTTTTTTAATTCTATCCGTATAAGTATATCCACAGCACAGCTGCCATTATTAGGTGTCACTGTAGGGATGTTATGTTCAGAGTAATGAGGTTTTCCTTTACCACCACAAATACTGATTTGTGGGGTAGCCATCAGGTGCAAACAAGCAGTAAACCACGAAACGAGCTACAAAAACATGTATGATGCGGAGTCCAAAAAATTCAAACACAAAAAACAAATGCAGCAGGAAAATGCTGCAAAAATAAATAAAAAAGCAATGACTAAAAATAAGAGCAAAATTCTACAATCAATAAAACAAACGCAAAAGAAAAATAATAACCAAGTCGGACCAAACCCTCAGTACTAACAGCAAGTTAAGCTTTAATGCAGGATTTAAAATAGAAAGTTAAAAGAAGAAATAAGTTTTTGTATCTTTCCTTTTATTGTCAAACACAAAGTCTTTCAGTTTTGCAGAATAACAGTAGTTGTGTACACTACTTTTCAATTAAGATAACTTTAAACTATTCTCAACTTTAAAGCGATACACTCTATACATTGCTAATGTGGTAAATGACTATTCTAGCTGCAAATGTCTGGTTTTTGGTGCAATATCTACATAGGTGTATAGAGGCCCATTTCCAGCAACTATCACTCCAGTGTTCTAATGGTACAATGTGTTTGCTCATTGGCTCAGAAGGCTAATTGATGATTAGAAAACCCTTGTGCAATCCATGTTCACACACCTGAAAACAGTTTAGCTCGTTAAAGAAGCTACAAAACTGACCTTCCTTTGAGCAGATTGAGTTTCTGGAGCATCACATTTGTGGGGTCAATTAAACGCTCAAAATGGCCAGAAAAAGAGAAATTTCATCTGAAACTCGACAGTCTATTCTTGTTCTTAGAAATGAAGGCTATTCCATGCGAGAAATTGCTAAAAAATTGAATATTTCCTACAACGGTGTGTACTACTCGCTTCAGAGGACAGCACAAACAGGCTCTAACCAGAGTAGAAAAAGAAGTGGGAGGCCGCGTTGCACAACTGAGCAAGAAGATAAGTACATTAGAGTCTCTAGTTTGAGAAACGGACGCCTCACAGGTCCCCAAGTGGCATATTCATTAGTTGTACCCGCAGTAGCCTCAATCTGCTCATTTCTGCTAGCACCTGCTGGCCTCTGTAGTTTTATACGTAACTTTCATCAGTCTAGTTTGACCAGAGCACCGTAGAACTGATGGACATACTTAAGAGTTTGACAGAGTGACTAACAAGAAAAACTGTAGTGAACTTCAGGAGACCACCTACCAGATGTATTTGAGAGATTCTGTTCAGTCCGCTGATGGCATCCTCTAACTCATTACACGTGAGCCCAGATAGAAGATTACAGATGATGCGGACATTGGTCACAACCAATGGGATACTCTTACCAGACTAAAAACATGATAGAACTCAGGTGAGGAAAAAAAATCCAAACATTAAAAGCCACCATTTTAAATACCACTTTGGTTCTTTCCACAAACCTTGTTGCTTATAAGGTCTGCAACATGTTTGTTGTAGGTACTGAGCACATTTTCCATGCTAAACCTGTGAGGAATGATAAAACACACACAGACGTCAGCCCAGTTGTTTTGTAAAAACACTAAATTGAGCTATATTTGATGGTATCTTACTTGGAGGTGCTGTGGACGCTGACTGGACCCTGGAACTGATACAACTTGCACTCGATTTTATCATCCGCATCCTAAACAACAGATTTCATTGCATTTTTCATACTGATCAAAATCCCATGTTTTCTTATTGGCTGTAAACCGTTCTTCCTTTTTTCTTGTTCGGAAATACCAGTATTTGTTACTTTGTGTGTAAACAAAGAGTTAAAAGTCAGGGTGGAGGTTTTTACAGCCACCATTACTCTCATGGTGGCCCTGAAGCTCTTAGTGCTTGCAGCAGCAGCATTTGAAGTTTAAAGGAAAATCCCGGTCATATTCAGAATTAAAACTTCTTAAAGTACTTTAATTATGAAATTGTTACATATTGTTCAATAAATAAGTGTTTTTAATTAACAGTAATTTTCATTTGAATGTGCTTTACTGGAGGCATCCATGTTTGTCAAAGAACACTACTGCCACCTACTGGTTTGTGACGTCACGGTGCGGTATCGGCTGTTGATCAAGTCCCAGTGCTGTATCTGGTGTTCGTCACAAGTCACTATTATCCAACTCATCTTGAAAACATTCTTCTTCCGAAAGTTGGCTACATATTATGTGTTTTTTCTCTGGCCAGAATTTCGATGGCAAATCCTCCCTCTTCAAGTTGGCGATCCAACGACCAACCCGTCCGTGGAGGATCAGGAATCAGAAAGGTGGAATAACTCTTTTTTTCACTTTTACCCGATGTATTCCAGCATCCAGCTGCCATGCACGTGGGCATTGTCAGTTTCACTATAGCTCTGGTGAATTTCAATGGTGAAGTCCTCTGAAAATCTTCAATAATTGTTGTTGATTGCAGATGCGTCTAATAGTTCCCATTGATTTAGCTTGGAAAGCGGGGAGAATGGCGCTAGGCTTACCGCACCGTGACGTCACTGCTGGAAGATGGCAGTAGGAAGGTGTTACTATATTTGGGCAAAAATGGCCGCTCCCAGACTCAGTGATCGTGACGAAGATTATTATTTTTATTTTTTTACCAATTAACACTAAATTCATTAAATTACCATGAATGTATTTGTTTTAGGTAGAAATAATGATCCATTGATTATTCCTTGCTGACCGGACGTTTCCTTTAAAGATGAGACCAATCCTTTACTTTCAATGTTTCTAACTTTCAGCTGTATTAGAGGAAAAAAAAAAATAATAATAATAAATATATATATATATATATATATATATATATATATATATATATATATATATATATATATATATAGACTCACATCTCTGGATAGATGCCGTTTAAGGTTGTTCACGTGGACCAGTCGAAGATTGATCACCAGTTTTGACTTGTAATACATCTGAACTCTCTCATGCAGGCCCAAAAGTTCCTCACTATAAAGAGAAACAAAGGGAAAAAAAAAAACTAAACAATAAACTTTAAAAAAAAGTCCAACTGAAGCTTAAAAGCAGAAGCGGATGCATGAGTGACATGAACAAAAACAGAAACACACTCACTTTCTAAGGTATTCCTCCGCATCACAAAATTTTAAAACGTAATCCTTGCTTGTGTCAGCTGTGCGGTCCAGTAACTTGAAATAATCATCAATTAGATCCTCCACCTTCTTGTTGGCTGATTGACAAAACCAAATAAAAGTTACATAATGTACAATTTGTGTGTATAATGATTATTCAGTCCTGGTTTAACAATAAATATTGTAGTTATTAAGCAGGACTAATGTACAAAAAAAAGTTACAAAAAATAAATCCCCTTTCTTTTGCCTTTACTTTTTTTTTTTCAGAAAGTTTGGATTACATTATAAACAATCTCTGGCATAAAAAAGGAAAATGTAAACAATTTATGAAACTCTGAAATGGTTTATGCCTTTAGCAAATAAAAAAGAAAATAAAAAAAAACAATTTTGCCAGACCAGACCTTTCACTAGAAATGGAAAAAAACGGTTTTAATTCAACATAAACAAACAAAAGCAACAAAAAAGAAAACAACAGATGAGAAAAAAAAAACAACAACCCAGCATTAAAAGACAAAAAATAAAATACTAACAGAATGTAAATTAGGGGTGAGGTTTTCTCACTGGATGCCCATGCAGTAAGCTAGATTTAGACCCCTTTTGAAGAGCTAATGGCACCCCATGATCAAATGGCGCTCTGGGCGATGAGCCAGAGTACTCAAATTAAAACAAAGCACATAGTTTTGCTCAAACTACATGTATAGGTACAAATAAGATAGGTAAAGATGTCTAAGGTACAAATAAGATAGGTAAAGATGTCTAAGGTACAAATAAGATAGGTAAAAATGCCTAAGGTACAAATAAGATAGGTAAAAATGTCTAAGGTTCAAATAAGATAGGTAAAAATGCCTACAGGTACAAATAAGATAGGTAAAGATGTCTAAGGTACAAATAAGATAGGTAAAAATGCCTAAGGTACAAATAAGATAGGTAAAAATGTCTAAGGTTCAAATAAGATAGGTAAAAATGCCTACAGGTACAAATAAGATAGGTAAAGATGTCTAAGGTACAAATAAGATAGGTAAAAATGCCTATAGGTACAAATAAGATAGGTAAAGATGTCTAAGGTACAAATAAGATAGGTAAAAATGCCTATAGGTACAAATAAGATAGGTAAAAATGCCTACAGGTACAAATAAGATAGGTAAAGATGTCTAAGGTACAAATAAGATAGGTAAAAATGCCTACAGGTACAAATAAGATAGGTAAAAATACCTACAGGTACAAATAAGATAGGTAAAGATGTCTAAGGTACAAATAAGATAGGTAAAAATGCCTATAGGTACAAATAAGATAGGTAAAAATGCCTATAGGTACAAATAAGATAGGTAAAAATGCCTATAGGTACAAATAAGATAGGTAAAAATGCCTATAGGTACAAATAAGATAGGTAAAAATGTGTATAGGTACAAATAAGATAAGTAAAAATGTGCATAGGTACAAATAAGATAGGTAAAAATGCCTATAGGTACAAATAAGATAAGTAAAAATGTGTATAGTTACAAATAAGATAGGTAAAAATGCCTACAGGTACAAATAAGATGTGTATAGGTACAAATAAGATAGGTAAAAATGCCTATAGGTACCAATAAGATAGGTAAAAATGCCTATAGGTACAAATAAGATAGGTAAAAATGCCTATAGGTACAAATAAGAAACGGACAAACGGGTCCACCCCCCCTTGGAATGGGGGTCGTTTGGCTTCATTTTTTACTCTGCAAAGCTCTGATTAGCTGTTTTATAGCTATGCTAGAAAGCCAAAGTTCAAAGCTTGCTAAAGAATTTAGATGAGCTGTTTCAAAGACTTCTACTTTAACTGGAAAGACAAGATCAGACGTCATTTACTGTTACCTAGCCTGAGTTTATGATAAGTATTTTGTTACATGTGGCTGGGGTTGGGGAAGTCCTGATCCTTCTTTCTTTGGCAAAGTGCACTAAAACTTTCCTGAAACTAAACAACTTTTTTTTAAATCCCTGCTCAAAGGTTTGACTAATCCAAATTTTTCACACTTTGATCTAGTCAATGGAAACCCTCACATCAGATATAAACTACATTGTGGTTAATATCTGATTTCTTAGATAGCTGGTGTCGCCTTTACTGAATGGTGTCCAAGATGGTGGGGCGTTTGTTGCTTTTACTGATTTATTTCACTCAAACTGCTTAGTCTAATGCAAGTATATGAGTGAGATCATGCTTTTTAATATGTTTAATCATTCATTTCTGACTGGATTCAGAAATTCCGGCTAATTTAGACGTTTACATAAATATTTCAAAGGTAAAACTGATTTGATATTAAATGAATGTGTGTTTTATGGTTCTTTGAGAAAGTGAAGTTTATGATTTTTTACCTGGTGTGGGAATGGGGAACATGAGATTTCCCTCCTCGGTGGATATAGTGACTTCTATCCCCACCTGCTGCAGCAGAGCAGGGTGGATCCGTAACAGCTGGCCCCATACTACACCTGGGTTGTGAACCCTGTCTGTGTGCTTGTATCGGGACATCAGCCTGTTGAAGTAGTCAAAGAAAACATGCGTCACCGTTAAGAAACGTAACTATGGAAACTAAAAGCTACCTGAACCTGAAAAGTATCAGGAAACGAAAAAACGTTTCGCATGACAAACATTTTTTTAAAAAAAGTCCCTGTCTTACTGTGATGTTGCCTTGCTGAATGAAGCCAAGTTCTTTGTGCTGCCTTCTGGAGAGTCTAGCAGTGTAATGGCCCATGGATTCTAAGTGTAAAAAAACCCCAAATAATTCACTTCTTTTTCTTTTTCCTTCACTTTCCAAATTCAGTTTGGGACAAACACGTCTAAGTTATATATATTAAAGATACTCACATGAGGTTTTACTTCTGTTCTGGACCGAACCAACTTATGAGGAGCCTCGATATCACATGAAATCTGCTTTTGGCTACAGCCGAAAGGTGCCGGATTCCTGGGGGGCAGAGGAGGGGGTTGACCTCTGACCGGGGCAGGAGTACTCGGTAACCGTATTCTAGGAGGAACCGGTGGTGGATCGTTCCTAGGAGCCTCTCTTCCTCTATCTTCAGTCTGGTTTTCAAGTGTCGGAATGAGCCCAGATAGGGAGGTCTCATACAGATTATTTCCTGATATGGATTCATAATAATTATCTAAATCGTCCCTCAAAGGACTCGGGTCGTCGGTGACAGGATTCTGTCTCAAAAGAAACTCTCTTTGAGCAGCCATAGGATTTTTTTAAGGAGATATGGCACAACCTGGTTTTAATTGATGGTGTTTAAACTGCTGCGCTGGTCCTTACTTCATGGCAAGACAAAACGAAGAGCTAAAAGACAAAACAAACACAAATTGAATGAATTACATTAGAGCTTGCACCTTAATCCAGGAAGGATGAGTGAGTCGTTTTATGAGCGCCTTTAAACCTGAAGGTCTATGTTGATCTAATCATTAACAAGATTTCAAATGTCAACAGGAAATCCAGCAGAGCGCGCCAGTAGATCTATGGAAATACCCTCAAACTTGAAATAACCGCGTAGAATTTGTTATTTTAACTGTAAATAAAACTTCAATCAATCAGAATAAATAGAGATAACAGAGAAAAGATGTCTAAAAAAAAATCCTAACATGGATCAGAGATGCATAAGTCATCTTTTGATGTTAGTCTTAGTGAAGATCTAAACGTTTTTTGTTTAGTAATAGACAGTTTAGCAGGAAAAACTTACGATCAGAGTTCTGATATCAGGACAGCCATTCTTGTTCACGTTGAATTCCCGTATGAAGCCATGCAGAGCAAGTCAGACCTGTACTGCTGCTCCCAGCTGAGCTTCCTCAGCCCTCCTACTGTAACAAACCCAGCAGGTGCGCGCAGCTCCACCACTCCCTCTGCTGGAGGAAACTAAACATTACACCATCCACCTCAAAAGATGAAAGAGGGTTTTTTTTTTTAAAAACAACCTAAAAACATGAATAAACAATACGGATGAAAACATGATTGCTCTGCATTAATTGTTTGCATTTAGTTCCTGAAAGCTGTTAATGACCAATAGATAGATTAATAATTGAGAAAGCCACTAATTCACTCCTCACTCAGGAATGTGGGAGAACAGGTTGAAGAATGGAGATCTGATTCTGTTCTGGATAGTAGTGACAGAAAGAGAGGAAAAGCAGGAAGACGGCTGACAGTGAAGCTCTCTGCAGATAATCACACACGGTGAGTTTCAACTGATTATTTGTTTTTCTTCCAAAGTCATCCTTTCCTCTCCTTTGACCACTATATTGTTTTTTTGGTGAATGTTTAATGTATTAAAGTCTGATTTGTTTGCCCCATTTGTAGAAGCAGTTATGGATCCTGATGCTTAAATCTTTATATGTTGGAAATGATGGCAGCTTCTATTTGAATGGGTGGGAGAGCTGCACAGAACAAAAACACCCAAACAACAAGAAAAGAAACAGAAAATGAATCAAACTACTACTTTTCCATCAACTCCAAATATAAAACCTGAATTCCCCGGATACTATGCTCTCATCCCACTGATAGTGCTCACATTGAGCGGATGTATAGTGGCATTGGTGAGAATCTGTCTACTTTATATTTAAATGCAATTAATATAGAAAAAAATTTTTTTTATAATAATGCTGTTTTTTATTTTTTAGGTGTTTTATATCAGAAAGAGAAGAAGGTAAGAACTTCGGATGCAAAACCAAATCCTTTCACACAGGAAATAAATAAAGCTTAAATCGAAACTAGCACCTGGGTCCTTTGATTCGCGTCTCTTTTGGCTCCGCCGTTAGGATTTGAAAAGGAAGAAAATAGCTTTAAAAATGTAAATATATTAACTGACCTGTGCTGTACGGGGGAAATCAAGCTCTTCCTTTTTTGTTTCAAGCGAAGCAGAAAGCTGCTCTGATGAGATCATTCAGTTCCACTCAGTTCTGTCAAAAACTCACAGCAGAAGCTCCGGTGTGAAGTCACAATCAACTCATTTCCTGTCTTTGGTGACGTAAGGCCTGGACATCCGGATGTTTATAAAAACAGCGCTATCTTTAAACGCCGGCAAAAAGATAATTACGTTTCCGTCAACTAACCAACCCGATACAGGGGTTTACCGTGGTTCATGAACGCAGCATGTATGCGTCACCAACGCAACACATCCGCTGGTTTGTTCTCACCGCTCACGCGCACAAGTTCAAGGAGGTCTGAGACCAGGGCCGCTGGGAGTCATTTAGAGCTGGGGTTGCTGGGAATTCTTATTTTTATTTTTGATAAAAGACCTATGAGCCTCTTTCAGAAGAGGATGAAGGCCACTGAAAAAATAAAGTTAACTGATTTTTAAATATTATTTCAGTTTAATATGGGAAAAAAGTCAGAATCCTGACTTTAATCTCAAAATTCTAACTTTTTTCCTTAGAATTCTGACTTTAATCTCAGAATTCTAACTTTTTTTCCTCAGAATTATGACTTTTATCTCAAAATTCTAACATTTTTCCTTAGAATTCTGACTTTAATCTCAGAATTTTGACTTTTTTCTCAAAATTCTGACTTTTTTTCCCTCAGAATTCTGACTTTAATCCCAGAATTCTAAAGTCAGTATTTTTCTCATTCTGTAATAAAATTTTAAATCAGCTAACTTTTTGTATTTTTTTCAGTGGCCCTAATCCTCTTCCGTAGTCTAAAGGCCTATTTAAAATACAATAAAAATACGAATATAAATCAAGTGAAACTGAAATGATTCCACTTGAGGAGTTCTTGATAGAGCAGACCGACAGACGATAAATCTTTTTTTTAATCTTAAATGCAAAATGTTTATATTTGTTTTACAATTTTTGTATGATTGCTGCTCAAAGGTTTGTTTGTCTTTCATATAAAGGCATATTTTACAGTCTCTAAACTTCAGTTAGCGATTAATCTATCACTGAATTAGTGGAAAATTATTACAATAATTGATTAATCACGAAGAAGAATTTGTGAACTCGTGTCGATTAGGGCTCAAAATAATGAAGTTAAATTCCAAATACACTCAATAGTGAAACAAATAAAAAGTAAAAATGATTTCCCAAAGAAATTTATAAATTTTTTTTTTTCAAATTTTATGTCCTTTTTAAAAACACTAATAAATTGAAATGGAAAGGATGGGAATTACCAGTTTGGGTACGACTAAATTATAAAGATTTTAAATTAATTTAAGGATATACTGGTGGTCAATTACAATATAAAATGAAAATAAACAGATTAAAAGCTAATTTTAATTTTTATCCAACCCTTGCACAATTGCATTGGAGAATAAATTGGATTTTTAATATTCCATAAGCTCTATATGAATAAGTAGAATTAAACAATTAGAAAAAGACAGATGGGACACAATTTGTAAAAGTAAAATCTGTAATTTTTCCTAATTCCAATCAAGAAATTGTGTTCAGCCATTAGCTTCACATATGGCTTGTTATCTTAAGTCAATCTTTACACATTGCTATGATTTACACAGAGAGTATTTATGTTAATTTGTCAAAATAAGTCAAACATTTAATAATTTACAGTTTCATCCATTTTTTTTTAATGGGAGCTACGATTTGTTTTATTAAAAAAAAAATCTCAGTAATCTGTATCTCAGTAACGCGAGTAGAGAGAGATTCCACTTTACTGAATTTTAAAGTCTGCTTAAATGTACTTTTTTTTATTATTTTAAGCTTGTTAAAGCCTAATTTTAGTTTAAGCATCCATGGGTAATTCCTTATTTCAATTATCTGTAAGGAGATATCCATTAGGTTTCGGTCTGCTCTCATAAATTCTTTTTTCTTCAGAATGGATGAGTTGCGGCACCGTCTGATTCCGCTGTACACCTACGACCCGGCAGAAGCACAGGAAGACTGGGGAGATTATGACAACGATACGGAGGAAGATCTGGCTGTAAGAAAAACACTCAATCCTGTTTTTTTTAATGCAGTGCAGTCAAATTAAACAGTTCTGTTATTAAAGTCTCAGATGCTGTTGTCATCGGCATAAATGCAGTACTTATTTTGCACTTTTAATGCATTTAAAGTGTTTTTGGGAGGATGGGATAACTGTAGAAAACACAACTTCTATAAGTATAAAACAAGAAACATCCATACTTTATCACATGTAGCTTAATTACCATCAGGGAGGTTCAGGTTTAATTCTGGCTGGATATTTCCCCCTCTACTTCACCTTTATTTATTTCAGAAATAGAAAAATGTTTTTAAATTGCTTGGTCCATCTTGTGAGGGATTAGACTTTTAAGCATACACTGCAAAAAATCAACATCTTGATAAGTAATTTTTTCTTAAAATAAGTGCATTTGTTCTTGAATTGAGGAGATAAAAGAGACATCTTGCCAATGGAACAAGACAATTTAGATTTTAAATAAGAAAACACAATTGCATTGTCTTATTTCAAGTGAATATTATCTAATTACCTTATTTTAAGAGTAAAAATACTGATTCCATTGGCAAACGACCTCATTTACCTACTCAAATCAAGGGCAAATACACTTAATTTAAGAAATTTGCACTTATTTCTAGATCGTTTTTCCAGTGTAATCCATGATCTTTTACCAAACTGGATTTCTAAGTCGTTTGATGAGTGCAATGCCAGGTAAGGTTAACTCGTTCAAAACTGTTTTGAATAGTTTTTAGGATCCCTGCCTGTTTCTAGCAAACATGACAGTGTGGGTTTACAATTGGGGGATTTTCTCATGCATGGTGGGGGCAGCGTAAACCCACATTTATCCCACTTATCACTCACAGAGCATCATTGCCACTGCAAAAAATGTAAATCTTAATAAGTCAATTTTTCTTAAAATAAGTTTATTTTTTCCTGAACCGAGGAGGTACGTGAGACACTGGACAATTTACATTTAAAATGAGAAAAAAAACTATTGCATTGTCTTATTTCAAGTGAGTTTTATCTACTTATCTTATTTTAAGAATAAAAATACTCATTCCATTGGCAAATCCTCTTACTTACCTACTCAAATTAAGAGTAAAAACACTTAATTTAAGAAATCTTTACCTATTTTTCTAGATTGTTTTTGCAGTGTGAGCGTTAAAAGGAATCATTAAAAAGAACCTTGTATCTACACCACCTATTACAGACTGGAAGCTGCAGGAACACTACTACTACTGTACAAAAGTTAAGCCAGCTACTGTAGAATGAGAGGTAACCATCCAACAGGAAGGATTCTGCTTTTACACAGATTTCAGCACAAAAAAACATTATTGACACAAAGATTCAGCTCTTTGCTGCTGATAACCAAAGTCATTTTTGTAGAAATCAAGTAGAGGCTTTTCACCCTAAAAGCATAGTGCTGGAAGCATTTTTTTTTTTTTGCTGTCAGTGGAACATTTTCCTTGCATAAAGTCTGTGAAATTCAGATCATTTAATTTGACCTCCAATGAGTTGGTTGATCGTTAAAACTTAGATACAATTGGTTGTGCAATTTTTTTTACGTGATAAAACAGACCAAAGTGTAGCTTCTGGAATGGCACCAAGCTTTTGACATTTCTTAATATTGACTAAAAGCAGAGCCAAGACCTGGAAATCAATGTTAGTTGTAAGTTATAATGATCTCCATCTGTATGCCAGGAAGTGGGGTTAAATATCTATCCTCAAATGCGCTGACCTTGTTAATAGACAAACTCTGTTTCCTCATGGTTGTGAAAATAAAACATCCTCCCACCTCTAACAGGCATATTTCTATATACCAATCAAATGCATTTTTTATAGATTACCACACACACTATTAATAAAAATATGTATTGTAACAAATAAATCCTTGTATTCTTTCCAATTACAATAAAGCTTCTTGTTGAAAGTTAACCTGACTCCGCCAGATGGATTTGCTCCGCATATCCATCTGGAAACCTTCCGTTGAAGTAAATTTGGGAAGTGGCGAAAATACTGGTTAGCTGATTGGCCTATGTTGGTGATAGACGGGCCAAATAAACCAATCAGATCAACGAAGCATATGACGTACTAACAGAGCGACGACGAAGAGGAGCCAATTGATAGATCAAACTCTTGCCGAAACCAGTCGGGAGAAGAGCAAAAACATCTTTTCCTCTGAGAAAAGCCTCCAGAGCAGTGTTTTGCTCTTCTTTCAGTGAAGAAATACTCTGTAATTCCGATAAAACTTGCTCGATAGCCACGCTAACGCTAGTTTCATCGGCTGAAGCCGCCATGTTCTTTAAACTGAACTGTCGCGCTTCTCGTTGCGTCACCCCAGGCTCACACCGACTCCGGTCTTACCGTTGCGGTGCGGTGGGTGCGGCGCCGCAGTGATTCCAAGTCATTAAAAAGACGTAAACCTCTCTCACCGGCTGCTGAGCTGTCCGGCTGCGGTTACCGAGACACTCCGGCGCTGCAGAAAATTCCGCAAGAAAGCTATCCTTGCGGCGTGCCGGAGCCCTCCGCAACAAGCTCTCGCAAAAATCCTTTATTTGGGCCGTGTTATCGCGTGAAGTTACGTGAACTCAAGTGAACTTCTGTTAAATCTCCGGACCTGTTGCCGGAGCCGCAGAGCCGCACCGCACCGTAGTCAAAATGGCGGTGTGAGAGGGAGTGTGCGGGAGTTGCGGTCTCCGTCGGCTCGGTAACTGCACCGGAGCCAGTGTGAGCAAGGGGTCACACCTCAACCCGCCTCAAAGCCAACGCTGATTGGACGTTCGTTTGGTGAACGGCTCCAAATTTTCTTTAACGGAAAGTAGCCAGACTGATCTGCGAGTGAAACCTTGAAAGCTCGCGAGATCAGGATGGTCTCACGAGGCTAGTTGAAAGTGTGATGCCACTGCAAATTGCCAACGAGTATTATCCTGATATTAGCCGGCATGTAATTGTGATTTTGACCCTGTGTAAACCAGTGGAAACATACTCAATAACCTTAAACTTGTGCTCATATTTTTTTATTTTTCAAAATCTCCACGTTTCCTCTATTATCAGTACACAATGAAAGCATCTGTTCAAGTGTTTCTTTGTAAGACCCAGTGGGGTAAAACATTCCTGCATAAGATGGGTGCAGGATTTTTAATTGTACCAAACATTCAGTTTGTTTGCAATGTTTAATGAAGTCATATTGTTAGAAGTGACGTATAATTGAAAGATCGCCTCCAATATTTCTATTTTTAATTTCTTTCCAGGAACCTTTGTGCAAGGAGTCACAGCTGTCGTTAACCTCTGACTACGGATCATAATTTCAAGAAGGAGGAGCTCGATTAAGAAACTGAATCTAGACTAATTTCAGTGCAAGGCACCGACTGGCAATAATGGAACAATCAAAACCAACCTGATGCAGCTTGAATTGTTCTGTTCAACAATGCAGTGATTTGTTGTATTGGCCACCAGGTGGCACTGTAGACATTTGCCTTAATAATGTTATTTTTTTGCTTGCAATGCCGCACAAAATGTTTTCTTTCACAGCACTGAATATGATTTAGTTTTACAGGAATAAACTGAAAGATTAAAGCTGGTTTGAAAATTTTGTTTAGCAACCAATAGTTACCTGCAATGGGTTTTAAGACACACCTGTTTGTGATTGGATATCAGTCATATTTTAATTAATTAGGGGGGGAGAGGCTTCCATTTACAGGATGATGGAGCTGCAGAGAAAAAGAAGGTGAGGAACAAACTCATACAAATGCTTTAAAACACTAACTTATCTGAAGTTAATGGGTTTTTTTCTGTTTCATCAGAATGGACATCCAGCCATCCATCCTTAGCTGGAACCTGACCTCTACTCTTTTGCTTTCTTCTCTGCTCCTTCCTGCTTTAACTGCAGCCAGCCTCCTTTGTAACTTCTGTCCCCTGCAGCACAAAAGCAAGTCCTGCACAAATATCACCAGCGAGTGTCTGCCCCACCAGCACTGCTCCAGTTCCCGGGGCCGGTATGGCTCAGTCCACGTCCTGTCCTCTCAGGGCTGCTTGGATGCCAAACTCTGCGACTCCCATGAAATGATCTCCTATCGGGGTGTGGAATACAACATCAGTCACACCTGCTGCTGCAGAGACGGATGCAACCATGTGCCACAGCCCAGCACCAACCTGCTGGAGCTGCTTGGGATGAACAAAGATAATCCAGAGTATAACACCAACACTCGAATAAAGCGGGAGCTTTGGGACTCATGTGTAAACTATACAAACTATTTCCTTTAAATCATAGTTTAAGGATTAAGACTGAGGGGAGGCCTGTTAACCACAGGAACTTACTTTAGCGTCTAAAAGCCGACTAACATTTAGTCAGATGTTTGAATGCTTTGTAACTTAATTTTAAATTGTGAAAACATTGGAGAAAATGTATGTTGCGGTTTCTGATTATATTCCAGAGAGAAGAGGTTGGATTTGTCATGCTTCCTCCTGGTATACTGTGGCCACTGGCCCATGCTGATGAATAAAGGCATTGTAATTAAGCCCCAGTGTAGTCTGGTGTATTAAAAGCAGGTGTGTTTGGAAGGTGTGACCTTTTTTTGTAGAGACATTCAGAGAGGAAGCAAAGTTTCAACAGTGAAATCTCTGAAAAGTTTTGCTTGGTGGATTTCCAATCTCTGAAATGGCTGGGTAAGTCTACCAAAAAGCTGCATCCACTTTCTAACTTTATAAACTGTAACACTAGTATAGCAGGGACATTGGTAACACCTGAAATTAGATTCTGAGACACTGAATCTGGTAAACTTCCTTCATACAGTTGGTAGAAATATGTAAAATGGAATTGAAGAGTTATTTATTTATTTTTTTTGTTGCTGAGAAAAAGGTAAAATTAAGGTATAAAGAATATAATTAAGCCTTTTCATTTATTTCAAATGTCATTGTTATGCCTTGGATGAAATACTAATTGGCAAACTAACCTTTTTATACACTCTGAGTTTCAGAAGGCTTAAGATTTGGATTTTTGCATGTTATTAGAAATGTAGAGGCCAGTATTTTAACACTGTTAATGATATATTATCTATATAACCACAAACTTTGATGGTCCTGAATTAGTCAGAAAAGGCAAACATGAAACTGGAAAATGAGCTATTTTAAACTACTCGGCTGTGTTGCCTTAAACCAGTTTGGTAATCAGTTAAATGCATTCAAACCAGATCTTTGCACTAATACTCTTACTATTAAATTAAATTAAATTTAAGAGTAAGATTTAGTAAAATTTAACACTGAATGGGTATTAAATAAAATTTTAATTTCTTAAAAAAAAAGATTGATATACCATCACAATTTTACAATTTCTTCCCTTTGTTGCAAATTGGGGCATTGCTTAAGTCAGGGATGCTCATGTTCAGTCCTCAAGAGCTACTATCCTTCAACGTTTTGATGCACCCTATTTTAACATGCCTAACTCAAATGAGTCTCATTATGATGCCTCTGCTGAGCTAAACGAGGGGATTGAGCCTTTAGATTCAGGTGTGTTAGAAAAGACGTGCATCTAAAAAGATCCAGGATGGTAGCTCTTGAGGACTGGACTTAAACACCCCTGGCTTAAGTAAATAAAGCAAGAAAAAAAACCTAAGGATTATTTTACTATGAAAAAAGATAACCTAAAAAAACTTTTCAAAAGTTCCGTAAAAATTCAAAACAAATATCCACTGGACTTGGTTTCCAAGATTTGAAGACGTTTCTCCACCTCTCCAGGAAGCTTTCTCAATTCAAATTTTCAAAAGTTGGAATAAACCACAAAAAAATCCAAAACCTAACCCTTAAAACGGCAAATTAAAATGTTTAATAATTGAACTTTATTGAGCTCGGTATTAACCTAGCAGTGGGCTGCTGTTGTGCAGCGCCTGGGGAGCAGTGTGAGGTTAAAGGAATAGTACACCCAAAACATGATTAGCCTTCATTTTCTACTCGCCCCCATGCTGAAAAACACTCTGGAGTACCTTTTTGATATCTCAAATGCATCTGGAGATCTGGGAGGCTTCTTGCTGTCTGCTGACATTCAAATAATGGAGGTCTATGGCGCCCGAGACAGAAAGGTCCATAAAAGTCCACAAAAAACGTGTCAATATTCCTCCATACTGCTCGTCCAATGTATTCCAAGTGTCCTGAGTGGGTAGCATCCAGAATTTACTCGAAACGAAGTCATTTAGAATGTTTTTAGAGCATAAACAGTAGTGTATAGGATTTCCTAAAAGCGCGCGCCTGCGAGTTCACGAGTCTACGGAAACCGCGGCAGACCAAACCAGATGAAAGTGCGCATTCAGCTCGGCAAAGAACTCATGCTCTTCCTCAACACTGAAGTCCTCAGACATTTTTCTTTCGTTGTTTCTTTCTTTGCACAGGTAAACAGCACATTTCTTCTTCTACGCTTGCATTATCGGCAGAGCAGACGCTGAATGCGCACTTTCATCTGGTTTGGTCTGCCGGGTTCCGTAGCGTCGTGAACGCGCAGGCGCGCGCTTTTAGGAAATCATATACACTACTGTTTATGCTCTAAAAACATTCTAAATTACTTCGTTTCGAGTAAATTCTGGATGCTACCCACTCAGGACACTTGGAATACATTGGACGAGCAGTATGGAGGAATATTGACACGTTTTTTGTGGACTTTTATGGACCTTTCTGCCTCGGGCGCCATAGACCTCCATTATTTGAATGTCAGCACACAGCAAGAAGCCTCCCAGATCTCCAGATGCATTTGAGATATCAAAAAAGTACTCCAGAGTGTTGTTCAGCATGGGGGTGAGTAGAAAATTAAGGCTAATCATGTTTTGGGTGTACTATTCCTTTAAGGGTCTTTGCTCAGAGACCCAGAGTGGAGGCTGTGGGGATTGAACCGGCTACTTTCAACCTTCTCAGAGCACAAGCGCACCGCTCTAACCATTAGACCAGCACTCCTTTTTATTTTCTTCTTTTTTTCAATAAAGCATGACTGGAACACTGTTATATATTGAAGGAAATATCACAGCAGTGTTAAAAATCCTGGTCATGAGTTGTTTTTCCAATGGCATCAGAAGAACTATTGTAGAAATGATTTAAACTCTTATTTTCACTAATGTTAATTTTGCGACACTATGACTTGGTTTAAATGCTTAGAGGCTGTGGTATTTTAAAAAGCGTGACAATTAGAAACTGCCTTTACTGAAACCTCACTTGATCGAAGCATGAGACAGAATAACTGAGGTACAATTAAGGTTTCTTTGCAGTCCGCCCTTCATCTGTATTTGTATTTCCCAGGCAGAACGTGTTGCAGCTCCTGCCTCTTGCTGTCTTGTGCCTTCATCTTCTTCTGCCCTCGTCGCTCTGTGAGAATCTGAAATGCTACTTCACCCCCATCCTGGAGAAGGAGAAGAAGATTGAACTTTCAGTGACGGAGTGTTCTCCAAACGAGGTGTGCTTCCACGCGCTGGGTCATTTCGGAAACTTCACCGCCTTGTCGGCAAGGGGGTGCCTGCCAGAGAAGAACTGTGGAAAAGCAAACAGCATCCGGTTCAGAGGAGCAGCCTACGCCATGACCTACGAATGCTGCGACTGGTCGTACTGTAACTCAGGTGTCACGATGAAACCTTTTAATTTCCTTGTAATGCTTGTGACTGTCTCCATGATGGCCAGTTTCAGTGAATGAAGTAATGTTCATGTCAGTTAAGGGGTGAACACCCAGTCTGAAAACTCAGGTGTGCACCATCGTAATACTAGAAATGTTTTTATTCTTCCTTCTGTTCTTAATGTTCATGTTTTTATGCCACAATCTATAAATAAATATTTCACACAAGAAATTTATGCTGTGAAATTATAAAGCACCAAAATCCAGGTCAGATAAACTTGGTCACACATGAAGTATCATTTCTGACTAATATGTAAAACTGCAATAAGGTGAGATTCTGTTTTATGGAAGTCACAGTACTATTACTCCCTGGGTGTCGTTTTGCACAAATTCACTATAGTCACTCTTTACTTTTTATGTGATTTTTTTTTTTTTTTTTTTTTTTTTAAATGTGAAAGAAGGGGGGGTTGCACTGTATTGCACAACAAAATCTTTTTTTTTTTTTTGTCTTGCTTGGCCAAAGGCAATATCGCATTCGTTTTATAACTGATTTCCAAAAAAAGTAAAAAAAAACAAAACAATGGACTTTGTTTCCATGGCTGAAGAAATTTTGCTTCCTGGATGGGAAGTAAAAAGTCTTCAACCTTGGAAAGGTTTTTTTTTTTTTTATGACTTTGACCTGGATGAATCTTCACCAGCATTTATAACTGAATCTTTGCAATTTAGCAGATCTAATAGTTTTGAGAATTTCTTCATAAAGATAAACCTTTCACAGCAATACAAATCTTGCCACAGATTTACCATAGATTTATGAATGGATAAAAAAAAAAGTCTTGGATAATTGTTCCTTAACATAAGATGAAATTAGTTAATCAAGCTTAGATCTAGAAAAAAATATTTCAGTCATCAAATGAATAAAATTTGTAAATGTTTTTAAAGGAAATGTTAAATTGCATGAGATAAATTTATATTTTCTTTTGTCTAAATTTGGAACGTTTGCTTCGGATCATTGTCCTGGCGGAGGGGGAACCTACACTCAAGTCTCACATTTTTGTGCCTCTCATTTTTGTTCTAGACCAAGCTCCTAATCCCTGCAAAGGAAAGCAATCCTGCAGCATAAAACCATCTCCAGAGACGGCGTGTTCAGGGTGAAGTGTGGGTTCGCTTCTTCCACGATTTCCTTCTTTCATTTCTCCCAATAAAGAAAGAATGGCAACAGATTTGTCAATGAATCTTCTCAGCATTTTTTTTTTTACCTAAAAATAATTACTTGCATGTTTCTGCAACGACACTTTGATTTTCCTTTGTAGTCTGAAACATTTGGCAATAGATTTCAAACATGTTTGCTTCCTAGTAGTTTGTAGCTAAGAGGTGAAAGGAACATTTTTCCTGGCCAAAAAAAAGGTCACTCACTCTAATACTTTGTTGGACCGCCTTTAGCTTTGATTACGGCACGCATTCGCTGTGGCATTGTTTCGATAAGCTTCTGCAATGTCAAAAAAATTATTTCCATCCAGTGTTGCATTAATTTTTCACCAAGATCTTTTTTTTTTTTTTAACAGTGTCCTGTCTGGCAAGGTGGCAATAAGAATAATTGTCTTGATGCCAAAAGGAGCCCAACAGATTTTACTTTCACAAGTGTAGCGGTATCACAATTGCCATATTGCTCCACTTGTTTCATGTATATAAATTGCTTTATTATAATTATGCAGGGAGTTTTACAGTTCATATGGACACTGCAATGTAAGTAGAGCAGAAAAACAGAAGAAGAAAGTAAAAGAAAAAAACAGGACAAAAGATGAAAGAAAGAGGAGATAGGAAGGAGACAATGACAAAACATTTTCAGTCTGCTTCAACACCTGTAATGAGATGGAGAAAAAAAAAAAAAAGAACAGCACAACCAAAAAAACATGGTACGAGGTATACAATAAAGCAAACACCTTGAAACTATCGCTAAAGTAATATTAAGTCTGACATGTACTCTGTGTTACCTGAAGATATGAATGTGGAGTTTCTGTTTGGAAGTGAATCTCTAAGTACCTGAAGCCTAGCACCTGTAGTTGTTTGTGAGGGTGAACTTGTGCATGTAAAGTTTTAACCATAGAAAAAATGCTCAATAGTGGTTGTGGAGAGCCGGAGAGGCACACCCCCCAGAGCACTGAGTCCAGCGCCGGGAGACCCAAAGCCCCAGGCGCCCAAGGGGACCCCAGAAGCGAAGGCACCAAGGCGGGGCCAGCCCCGGAAACCAGACCCCACCAAGGCAGGAGGACAGACAGCCACGAAGAAGCCCCCAGCCACCGCCATGCCGGCGCCCCGGGGAGCCGCGGGGACGAGTCCGCGGGCCCCGCCGGCAGCCGGCCACCCCGAAGTAGGGCCGGGCACCGAACACCAGCCCCCCCACGGCGCCGACCGAAACGCCCCAGCACCACAGAGCACCGAAACACGCCCCGCCCCCCAGCACCAAGCCCCGGCGACCGGCCGCAACACCCACCGCGACCGCACCACCCAGGAAAACACTCAGGCGGCCCCGGCCGGGGCCCATGCGCATCCGCCGCGAACCGGCCGCAAGCGCCGCGGGACCCCCCCAAAACGCCCCCCCGGCCCAAAGCGCAGCCCCACCCCAACAAGACCGATGCCAACAGCGCGCAACGAAACACACCGCGCACAGAATCAGCCCGAGAGCAGAAAAGCCGCCCGGCGCAAAACCGCAAGAAGAGCAGACCGCAGCCGGCGCAACCACCCCCCCCAGCAGCCCGAGGGGCAGCACAAAGCCAGAGCGGAGCGAACCGCGCCGCCCCCCCACCGGACGAAGCCGAAGCAGCCCAGCCACGTCCGCCGCCCGCACCAGGCCCTGACACGCGGCCAGAGCAGCTCCGCCGCCCCGGCCCCCCACCACGCACCGGCCATAGCCACTCCAGGCCCCCACCCGCCGCGATCAGCGGGAACAGAGCAGCCCCGCCATGCCTCCAGGAGGGAAAACCCCCCCGAATACCCAGCCAGCCCGCCCAGACCGGCCCCCCAACACTACCCCCGCCGGAGCCGCCCGGACCCCCACACACCAGCAGCGCGCCGCCAGCAGGACCCCCACCCAGCAGACCCGCCCGCCCCCCGAGAAAACAGACATGCCAAACCCCCCAAAGAAAAAAAAAAAAAAAAAAAAAGGGAGCCCCCACAATGCGACAGCGGACACCAGACACCGACCCACCCGCAACCGCTCCCCCCCACCGAGGAAGAGAAAAAAAAGAAAACACAAAAAACTTAAATAAATAGGTAAATAAATTAATTAATAATTACAATTAAAATAAATAGGCAAGAGGAGAAGTGCGAGCGGAAAAACCGGAGCCCAAAACAGGACCCAAGACCCGCACCCCACCATGCCGTGCAGCTCCCCCCCCCCGAACCGATACCACAGAACCGGCATAGGAAAGAAACACCGCCCAGGAACCGGCATCGTAGCGAAGGCACCGGCACCGACCCCGAAAATCCCCGAACAACACCCAGCCCCACCCCGAAGCGGATCCAGTCCCAGGCCCCAGGGATCCGAGGCCCCAAGGGCACCAGATCCCCAGACAGGAGCCCCAGCAAAGCCCCGGCCGGCCGGGGCCAGCGGAGAGGCCGCCAGGAATGAGCCAGCAGTCCCCCGGGCATCCACCCCCAGCTCCACCAGTGCACCGGTGAGCCCCGACGCCAGCCAGCGGAGGGAGAGCAGGACGGGGGGAATGGGCTCCGCACTTAGCGGAGACTTGAGATGTATTTGGGAGAGGGTGCGGTTGAGACCCCAACCTGGGAAAGAAAAAAACACAAAAAAAAAACACACCATCTCAATCATGCCTTCCCTCCCTAGTGCCCCCACTCGTACCACAGGAAAAAAAAAATTGAATAAAATAATAATAATAATAAATAAAGAAAATAACGCGGACACACATTCACACATAACACTCACATCCAATAATACCAGGACCAAAAACCCGGTGACACCGGTGGTCGGTCCCAGGACTATCGGATGACCCCATAAGTGAACCTAAAATCCGGATGTGAGGGGAGGGGAGCGGCGACACCGCCACACCAACCCATCTCTTTCCTGCTTCAAGCTCGGCCCCCCACCCCGCACACGGACCGGACCACCCCCAGCAAGAGCCCCCCCCGGGACCGGGGCCCACCCATCCCGTGCCGGCCGCCCAACCAGAACCGCCCCCCCCCCCCCCCCCCGAAAAGAAAGAAAAAAAAACCTTCAACCAGGCACTTCATGCCCCTCCATCCAACCTTCTTTGGGGAGAGCAGAGGTGACAGCCCCGCCACCAGCAGGCCACCTAGGCCCCGCAGCCAGCCCCAGCCAAAACCACGGACCAGGTGGCCCGCTCTTCCTCCAGGCCCCAGACTCCAGGCGGCAGCCGGAGAACAGGGTTGTGAGAAGACCCCGATCCTCACTGCGCCCGCTCGAATGTGGTGTTGTTGCGTGTTGCTCTCAGATGCAATTAAAACTGGGAGTACCAAGAGGGAGTGTCCGGCACACTCCACCCCCCCTCCAGGAGATAGACGGTGCCAGCACACCCCCCCCCCTTCGACAACCCTCAACCCTCAATGTCTAGATGCGAGAGGGGATGGAGGAGGCCGACCGTGGTGAGGCCCATAAAATAAGCCCCCCCCCCGGTGGCCCTGACCCCCACCCCCCGAAAATGCCCTACATAGATGTGTGTTGTGAAAATGATGTAGATGGAAGTGTCTAAAATGCAAAATAAAATTGGTGTGGGGGACGTCATCAGAAGGTGTGGCCCTCCAGTAACGACCCCCTCCCCAAAAACCTACATGTGTGTCCGAGTGATGGAGCAGGCAGAGGGAGGATTTCGGGGATGGGGAGCAAAGGACTGGGGTGCTTGCTGCACTCCCAGGGAGCCAGCTCCCCCGCTGACTCCAATAGGCACCCCCGTTCCCCGAGAGCCCCCCCAGAGAAGGGGGCCCCACCAGTTTTCACCAAGATCTTACATTGATGATAGAGTCTGACCGCTGCGCAAAGCCCTCTCTAGCACATCCCATAGATTCTCAATGGGATTGAGGTCTGGACTCTGGTGGCCAATCCATGTGTGAAAATGATGAGTCATGCTCCCTGAACCAGTCTTTCACAATTTGAGCCCTATGAATCCTGGCATTGCCATCTTGGAATATGCCTGCGCCATCAGGGAAGAAAAAGTCCATTGAGTTGACCTCATTCTTTGAGCACATACTGTTGCTGAACCCAGACCTGAGCAACTGCAGCAACCCCAGATCATAACACCGCCCCCACAGGCTTGTACAGTAGGCACTAGGCATGGTGGGTGCATCACTTCACCTGCCTCTATTCTTACCCTGATCAGGGGCGGGTTTAGGAAATTTGGGGCCCTAGGCAAAAACAGGCATGGGGCCCTCTGAATTGACCCATTATAGAGATACAAAGATGTTAATAGAATAGACATCCATTCTTTGTTCTAGGTTTTGTCCCTCTCTTCTTGTCCCTTTTCTTGTTTTCCTCTCTGTGTTTTGTACTCATCTGACTTTTCATACTGTCTCAAAAGGAATGAAAGATTTTTTTCCAATCACTAAGCTCACTTAGCCGATTGCGCCTTCATGCATTTCCAAAGACCCGACGGCAAAAGTAAATAATAGTTCTTTTTTCCACTGTAGACAAGCCATGATCTGCTTATCTGTTCTCCATTTTTCATTTGGATGAAATAATAGCTGCATGAATCATGACAGCAGACAAGATAGAGGAGAGCAGGAGGCGGGGTTACCAATCTACTTGCTCTGGAGAGCAGAGTTCGCTGCTTTTATATGTTGTCGCCAAAGTCTCCACTAACAAAAAAAAGTCGCTAGATTTGGCACTAGGTGTTTTTCTGGAATAAATGCACTAGAGGGGTCTAAAAAGTTGCTAAATATAGCAACAAAAGATCTAAGTTGACAACGCTGCTCTTCGCATTGTTTGTTTTCAACTGGTTTGCTGCTGTCTGTTTGGACCTTTCTGAACATTTGCAGCAAATTGACTGATCCAATGTGGTGGACACCGAAGGGGGGCAGAGACACACTTAATATTATAGTTTCATCAAAAACATAGTTAATGTGCACAAATATATTAAAAATACATACTTTATGGGGCCCCCAGGAACTTGGGGCCATAGGCAACTGCCTAGTATTGCATAATGGTAAATCCCCCCCTGACCCTGATTGGCCCATCACTCTGGAACAGGGTAAATCTGGACTCATCAGACCACATGACCTTCTTCCATTGCTCCACAGTCCAATCTTTATGCTCCCTAGCAAATTGAAGCCTTTTCTTCCGGTTAGCCTCACTGATTAGTGGTTTTCTTACGGCTACAAAGCTGTTCAGTCCCAATCCCTTGAGTTCCCTTCACATTGTGCGTGTGGAAATGCTCTTACTTTCAGTATTAAACATAGCCCTGAGTTCTACTGTTTTTCTTCGATGTGATCGCCGATCACGATCATTCAGGATTTTTTTTCCAGCCAAATTTCTTCCTTGAAGATGATGGGTCCCCACTATCCTTCCAGTTTTTAATAATGTGTTGGACGGTTCTTAACCCAATTTTAGTAGTTTCTGCAATCTCTTTAGATGTTTTCTCTGCTTGATGTATGCCAATGATCTGACCCTTCTCAAACTGACTAACATCTTTTCCACGACCATGGGATGTGTCTTTCCACATGGTTGTTTAGGAAATGAGAAGCAAGTCATTGCACCAGTTGGGGTTACATAACTTTTTGCCAGTTGAAAGATAATCGCCCATGCAGAAATTATCCAATAGGATAGTGTTGCGCCGATGCCATTTTTTGGCCCCGATACCCGATACCTGGCTGTGCAGTATCGGCCGATACCGATACCATAATAATGTAAAATTATTGCCATCATGGCTTTGTCAAACTGCTGCCTACCTTTGTGAAGCAGGAAAAAATCGAATACAAAGTGAATCCAGTAGAACTTTTTATTGCCTACCAGGAATGGGTGACAATAGTTGAATAAACTTTTGGCGCTCAAAATGGTATCGGTGCCCTATTTGTTGGTACTCGCCGATACCGATACCACCATTTTAGGGCAGTGTCGGGGCCCCGTCCGATACTGGTATCGGTGCAACACTACAATAGGAGGCTCGTACCTATTTGCTTAGTTGAATCCAGGTGGCGACTTTTTTTTTTTGGCCAGGCAGTGTAGATAATACACAGGCTTTAAGGGAAGGAGGGAAAAAAATGTGACAAGATGTACATTTTGAGGTTCAACAGTTCTTTATTTCCCTTTAATAAGGCTGCTGGGTCTCCCCATAGTGGATATACATATATATACAGGAGATTGCTATACTGGAGTTACACGGAGGGCAGAGGGTCCATATTACACAGACTTCCAAAAACAACACTAGTAGAGCCTCACCTCCAGGTTTACAGAAATCGGCATAGAGAGAGAGGAATATGGGAGGAAACGGCACAATTATAGAGGAAAGAGAAGGAAGAGGGGAGATGTTGCTGTCCGAGAGCCTGACTCGACTGTTTAATAACTTAACACTTGAAAATAACATACAGATTTCACGCACAGTGCATCTTAAATAGGTTAGGTGAAGAATCATTTACCATAAATATCTGTATTTTTGAAAATCAATATATATATAAAAAAGAAAGATAAAAAAAAAAAATCAGTCTTAATTTATTTCCCATAATTTATTTTTTTCATTTTCGTGCAAATCTTTTCCTTCCTTCTCTGGTTGTTGAGGTTTTGTGCTCCTTGCTCACACTTTAACCAAAGACGACAAAAAAAAAAAAGAAAATGAGAAGGGAAACAAAACCCAGCTTATCCCCAGTCACCCCCGCCCCCCCCCCCCACATAATATCATATGAATTAGTAGAAAACGAACAAACAAACGGAACACCACTTATCAACTTATCACAAAATTAATCCACAAACACACAGAACACCAAGAACACTGTATTTTTTTCTTGTTTTTCATCTTTTTGCTCTTTTTTTCGTTTGCCTTTTTGAAGTTTCTTCTTTGTAATTCCTCCTTATGGTCGCTGTGTGTCCTCCTGGCATACTGTTTGGCAGCTTTGGAGGGGCCCTCCCTCTCCCTCGGTGGCTCAGTGGAACTGGGAGGCTACCTTCCAACCAGCTGGTAAGTTCAGCAGTGATATATCATCTTATAATTTCACAGTGTGGTAGGAAAAGAGGGAAAAAGGTGATGGAGGTGGCCTGAGGGAGGGGTACCGCATGTGGTATTAGGATCTCAAGGAAAGACGGCAACAATAACGAAAACAAAATAGAAAAATGGACGGTCTTTTCTGGAACATGAAAGTAAACCAAATGTCTGCTTTAGTCCTTTGCTAGTAGAAGTATGATTCTTGCCGATCTGTTTGGTGGAGAAAGCCACGGCTCGGTGAAGAATGTGGCGGCGAATGGAAAGAGAGAATCCACCGATGGACGGGTCACAACAGGGTGATATGCGGTCAGGAGGATAGGGATGTGCAAGGCAGGGTGATGTGTGATTGGCTGCTCAGAGATCCCTTCTTGAGGGTGGGGGTAATTCAGGCTTGCTGCTGCAGTGCCCGCCGCTTGCGGCTGTAGTAGTGACGCATCCCGGTCTGTCTGGCAAAGCTCATCATGTAGTTTTGTTTACGCGTGCTGTAGGGAGACAAAGTCAGTGAAAGGAGAAGGGAGGGAGAAGGAGGGATGTGGAAATTAGTGAGAACGTAGAGCAGAATACAACTTCCCAAGCTCTCACTCGGCAGATCCAATCATGCAGACACACAGATGGGTAAATGGAGTTTCAACAACCTCTCACCTTTACGTTCATGCGTTCGTTTTCAATCAACCATGACCTCAAACACTGAACATCTACTTAGATCTCATGGCTCAGGGAATAAGTGGTGCTACTTTGGATTTTCTCTATATTCTACACCAATGGAAGGCAAGATAAAGACGATGAAACAAGTAAGTACGACTGTTGTCAAGACAAGACAATACACAAGGACCACAGATATTCTTACATAAATAAAAGAGGTTAACTCTGACACTAAGTGTTTGAGGTCAGAGTTAAAAAAAGAAGAAAAAAAAGAGCAGGGGCCTGAGCATTACGGGTTTTAAGATTACAGTAGCTTGCTGAACTATTAAAACTCCTAATGTTTTTTTTTTCTTTTCAGATTGACACATTAAAAACACAAACTTCAATATTTTACTGGGATTTTATTACTATTAACAAAATGAAACAAATTAGAAATGGAAAGTTGTTCTTGCATCTGAGCCATGGCTCAAATGCAAGAACCCAACATCGTGGAGTCCCTAATCTGGCCGTAAAAGAAGAGTGGCAAGAAAAAAAAAATGTTAAAGAAAACCAAAAGACAGACTTCCAGTTTTCTGTTAGTCATGTAGGGGGTAGCATATATGTTTCAGAAGATGCTCTGGTCAGGTGAGACCAAAAATAATCTTTTTATCCTGCATGCAACACTATGGTCCTGATCTTCCAAAGGTTAGCGTGTCTTAAGACAGATGCAAACATGTTTGTAAGCATTAAGCAGAGGAAGATGCAAAGTGATCCGTGTTTGCAATTCAGCCAACAGGGTATGCAAACCATTCTTTTTTTTTTTTGTTGCATCAGATTATCAGGAATCCAGTTTGTGTGGTCTGTTTTTGTGTTTCCTTTCCTCCTCCACCAGGTGGTGCCCCGTCCTCATTGGCTCTCCCTGCACACCTGCAGCTCATTGCCTCATTACCTGTGGAGGGTTCTTAAGCTGCTGACTGCCACTACCTCGACGCCAGAGTGTTTGCCAATACTGGGTACTCTAGCCATGTTTAGTTTAGCAGAGTCTAACCTGAGTTTTTGTTTGCCAGTTTGGGGTTCTCCAGCCAAGCTGGGTTTTGCTGAGTCAAACTGAGTTTTTTGTCAACCTGAGTCTTAACTTTGTTTTTTTGTCTTTGCCTCTCGGCAGGAAGTCATCCTGCAAACTGGATTTTTTTCGGACCTTCTCTCTCTGGAAGGATCAACTGAGCTTCTAACTGAGCTGGGGTTCCAAACAGAGGTCGTTTGAGCTTCACACCGAGCAAGGGTTATATCTGCACCACACCCCGTTCAAGTACCGCAGGAAATCTGAGTGGCAGTCAGCTTCTCCGTTCACCAAGGAACAACCGCAGTCTGAGTAAAAACCCTGTCCGCCCAACACCAAACTGTGTGGAACATTCCACACAGACTGGATTCCATAAAGGACACCTTTTTCTGGAAAAGTGAGTCTGCAACCTATTCCTCCAATTCTAACCAAAGAATCAAATTTCCCACTGAGCCTGAACTAACCGCAGTGTCTTCCCCTCACTTTCCAGTTCCGGTTTGACAGTGTTCAGAGCAGCACTGGACTCATCTCAATATTATTAATAAACCTGTTAAACTTTTCCCGAGTCTCTCTGTTTGGTCTTCTGCATTTTGGGTCAGACCTTTAATTAAATCAAGACACAGATCATATTCTAATGACCAAATATTACTTAGTATGATAATTTTTTTATATTTATTATTGCCTACAAATCTATGGCTATGAAGCTCATCTTTCTTTTTAATTTCAAACTGCCTGTCAAACACATAATATGCTCATTTTATTGGGCCTGACCAATATATCTGACCATATAGTAAATAAGAATGCAAAAAGATTTATGTTAAAAATCAAAATAAACTCAATTTTGTTTCACTTAGTACACTGCTTCACTTGTACATTTTATTATTCTGGTCTATCACATAAAACCCCAGTAAAACGACTGAAGTTTGTAGGTGTTATGTGTAGAAATCCTTTAAAACACCAGGCAGTAATAATACTTTTGCAAGGCACTGAAAATTAAAAACTAAAAAATAATAAAAAAGCTGCAGAAGATCACTCTTGCTTAGCCTGTTTATTGCCTCTTCCATCCAGTAGGGCGGTGCCAGTGAGCCAGGAGTACAGCCAGGGCAGGCAGGGGGTCTCTGTGAAGCGGGTGGGTGGACGAAGGAATGTGGGGGATGGTGTTTGCATGTGCATGATGGCCGATGCTCGTGGTAGTGGAAGTGTTAGGAATGGCCGGTGGATTATTATGTTAAGAGATCGATGAAATGAGTGCATCTTTGTGCATTTCTGACATCTAACCAGAAACCAAATGGTAATAAAAAGGAAGCTCCTGGCCTACAAGACTTGCTGTTGTTGTTGTCTTCAGACAAACAGACAAACAAACAGCCAAAGTGGGGGAAAAAAAGGATGGAGAGTCGTTGCAACAGTTGATCCGCAAAGCCATACAGGAAAAACAAAGCTATCAATTAATCTCATAACCAATAATGCAAGATTTTTAGACTAGTGTGAGGAGGTAGCAGACTTCCCTTATTCAAACTAAATACACATAAGGTTTTTTTTCTGCATTGAATTTTTTTTTTTTAGGTTACAAAAACGTTAGAAGATTGCTTTGGAGCTGAGGATCCTGTCACACTTTGTCGATTTAGCCAGGGTATGCCTGACGTAACAGAATCTCCTAAAACGCTGGCATACACTAAACTTTCTATATATTTTTTTTTATTTTGGGTGTATATGTAGCGTATTCATAACGAGTCCAGAACGAATGTCCAAGACAGCCTAACTTATGCATAACACACGTCAGTGTAATGCCCATGAAATATCACAAGTCAGTGACCCGAGGGGGGCAGCTAACCTGACTCCGCCAGATGGATTTGCTCTGCATATCCATCTGGAAACCTTCCGTTGAAGTAATTTTGGGAAGGGGCGAAAATACTGGTTAGCTGATTGGCATATGTTGGTGATAGATGGGCCAAATAAACCAATCAGATCAAAGAAGCATATGACGTACTAACAGAGCGACGACGAAAACACAACCACAAGCCAGGCTACTCTTGCCGAAACCAGTCGGGAGAAGAGCAAAAACATCTTTTCCTCTGAGAAAAGCCTCCAGAGCAGTGTTTTGCTCTTCTTTCAGTGAAGAAATACTCTGTAATTCCGATAAAACTCGCTCGATAGCCACGCTAACGCTAGTTTCATCGGCTGAAGCCCCATGTTCTTTAGACTGAACTGTCGCGCTTCTCGTTGCGTCACACCTCAACCCGCCTCAAAGCCAACGCTGATTGGACGTTCGTTTGGTGAACGGCTCCAAATTTTCTTTAACGGAGAGTCTCCAGACTGATCTGCGAGTGAAACCTTGAAAGCTCGCGAGATCAGGATGGTCTCACGAGGCTAGGGGGCAGCATCAAAGACATCAAAAAGATGTCTATGATCATGGTATTAACCTAGCTGCTGTTACCACCCAAAAAAAAAAGCCAAAAAAAAAAATAATGGCAACGTCAGATACGTTGATATGCATTCGAGATAAGTTCTTGACAAGTAACGCTTAAGTTATGCCCAAGCTACTCATAGGTTTTGGATTAGCTAATCTTGAGTAACTTACACTTAACGTATGTCAACGATCAGAAAACTTACCTGTAACTTATGCCCCACGTATGGCTTACGTTGGCATATGTACATGCCATATGTCGACATGTGCCAACGTGTTTCAGCGTGCTTCAGCATGCTCATAACTTATACAAAACGTACGCATAACTTATCCAGCGTTTTTGCCAGATTTTTCGTACATCAGACGTACACTGGTCTAAATCGTCAAGGTGTGACAGGGGCTTGAGGTACTTTCACCAACAAAACAAACATGTATAGTGATGATTACATCACACATATAAGCACTAGAAGGGTAACAATACATCTGGCTAATGAGACGGGATGAGATACAATATTGGATTCACAAGACCTGGACAACATTTTAGCAATATTTAATCGAAAAGTATGGCTTTCACAAATACGTCCTTAACAGGAAGTGAGTTTGCCCATTTTTGGTGTAGAATTATCCACATCAGGTTTGATCAGGTCTAAGTATTTTGGAGTTTGAAGATAGTATGTCTTGTAGTATAATGCCGTTCAAATGCACTGAAACGGACGTTGTCTTTATCTTTGTTAGTTGCAAACACTGAGCCACTATTGGTTACAAATTCCATATGTGCTTTTGCTCAATTTTATTATTTTATGTAGAGATGTTCCGATGCCATTTTTCCTCTCCCGATACAATTCCGATGCTTGTGCTACAAGTACCGGCTGATCCCGAACACCGATACTAGTATGTTACAAAAGAAAAAAAAAAAAAAAAAAAAAATATATATATATATATATATATATATATATATATATATATATATATATATATATATATATATATATATTATCATACTACACCTGCATGACTGTGATATGATTATAATTGTGGTAAGGCGTGACTGAGGTTAAACCCTTGAACGGAGTCAAAAATGTTCCATGTACTAGTCTGCCTTTCTGACAGATTTCACAGTTTCTTGGCTTTCCCTTCCTTTCAGAACCCTTCTTGTCCTTCCATTTTATCACACACACTTTAATATTGTGTACTAATTTATTTGTATTTCTTTGTTTTCAAATGTTATTTGGGGTATTGCTGAGATCTGTTGTGAATTTAAACTCTTAGGGAGCGTTAGAAGAACACTGAGAAAAAGATTGGCATTCTGTAGATTCAGATTTGAAGAGAATTTAGTTGTGTTTAAAATACTTCTTGTTACACTTCTAATAAGCACATGATCGGATGTTTTACTGTGTATCATGTTGACATGGCAAAAGCATGGATGAACTGGAATAATATTTCTACCTTTGCAATCAGTATCTACCTCTTGAGTCATTTCCTCTTTATCCAATGTGCAGTGATGCATTTTTATTTTTACTTTCTGTGCTGAGCCTTTACATGAACTTAGTGAACAACTGACCAGCCCTCTGACCTGTCTGGTGCGTTCATTTTTGTGAGAGCATGGTGATGAATTTGGTAGTGATGAAAAGACTTGCATATAATTATGAAAGGGTGTCTGCAGTATAAAAGGAATAAAAAGAAAAGGAGTGGGAGGAGGGTCTGTGCGTGGTGGTTGTTGAGGTGAGGAGGAGGGAGGTGCGTTCAGGTGGAGGCGGAGAACTTACCTGACACTACAGCCATGCCAGAGGGAGCAGAATACAGAAGAGAGCAGAGGTTAGAGCACGAGAGGGGATGGGCAGGAGGAGGTGGGGACTGCTGTCTTGTAGAAAGGTCTGGGGGGGTGTTAGCCCCAGCCTGGAGAGGCAGAGGCCCAAAGTGGAGGAGAGAGGAAGGCAGAGAAGTGAGGGAGTCAGGAGAGAGAGAGAGTATGGAAGAAAATATGAGGAAGGAGGCAGAAACATGTAACAAAAAATGAAAACAACCAAAGGATAGAGAAAGTTGTGCAGGAGAAATCCATTTATTTTATACAAGAATGGGAAAATACGAAAGACGATTTAAATAAAATGATGAAAAAAGTAGGAGAAGGAGATGGAGCATGAAGGATGGTATGAAAAGAGGTAGAGAAACCACAACCATGTGATCAGAGGGGATGTTAGGCAGCAGGAGACGAAGGCAGGGTGGGCCAAAAGAAAAGATTGTGCAGGAAGCGTAAGAGGAATAAAATGTGTGAAGGATTGGTGGGCGGAGAGAAATAAACAGAGCAAAGAGTGAGGGTCACGGTCTCTCTTATCAGCAGACACTGTTGAAAACTGATCAGATGCAGAGGGGAGGAGTTGGACAGGTCACGGCCATGTTGGCCAGGGAGGGCTGAGGTTAGGCAAAGGTCAGCATATTAGTGTGTTTGTTAGCAACTCTGCATAATTTGAACTGAAATGATGTTATGCAGAATCTGAAATCCACGCCTGTACGATGAAATGTTGCTCTCAATCCACCACCAACATGAAGTATTTAAAATGCTTTATGATGGTGCTATGTTAGTGATGAGCAAGCATAAAAGACCAATGTAGCATTGATTACGTCATGATATCTTCAGCGTATGCAGAATGTTTACTCCTCTGTTTCAGGTTGCTTAAAAGTTAAAAATGCAAACAAAGTATTGCAGATAACCTTAAAACCCAACAAATTTAAAGACTTTACTTCATAAAATCAACATTTTGCGAGACAATTTGGCAAATGAGGCTCATTCCTCTGAAATCCTTTACAGCTGCCCTATCTCAGTTAGAGATGCACTGAGAAATTGTCTGGTTAGAGTCAAGCCAACTTTGACTTGACAGACTGCTGATCTCTTTCCAATCAGTCAACGCTGCATCTTTAAGCACTAATGAGTTGTTCTATGATCAAGCGATGGAAGATTTCGAATGGAAATAGTTTTAGAAAAGCTGGCTGCTCTAATCTGCTAATAAACAGACCTCCAGCAGGTGATTAATCAATCAATATTCTTTCAAATTAGTCATACTAAACCCTATATATATTTAAATCAACCCTGAGCTGGATTATTGTTCAAATATGAATAAAAGATTTTAAAATCACAGTTTTTGATTTGTAAGTACTTATTCTACAGTTGAAAAAGTACTTAATTCAGCACGTAAACCCCACATTAATAAGTCAATAATGGAAGTTAATTACAGTCTGAGGCTGAAATGGATTCTTGAGTGCATTTTGAGTCCACTGTTCAGAAAAAATAACATTATGAGTCCATATTAACAAAGATTTTTAATTCTTGATTTAATTGATAATTTATTGTTTTAACATCCAGGAAATCAAAGATTTTATCCTCAAATCATTAAGTTGGAAAGAGCTATTATTTGTGAATGGATATACATATTTTTACGTACTGTGATCCAAACAGACATCATTTATGAATTATTAGATTTCTATTGATGCAGAGTAAGACTAGCCTCGTGAGACCATCCTGATCTCGCGAGCTTTCAAGGTTTCACTCGCTAATCAGTCTGGAGACTCTCCGTTGAAGAAAATTTGGAGCCGTTCACCAAACGAACGTCCAATCAGCGTTGGCTTTGAGGCGGGTTGAGGTGTGACGCAACGAGAAGCGCGACAGTTCAGTCTAAAGAACATGGCGGCTTCAGCTGATGAAACTAGCGTTAGCGTGGCTATCGAGCAAGTTTTATCGGAATTACAGAGTATTTCTTCACTGAAAGAAGAGCAAAACACTGCTCTGGAGGCTTTTCTCAGAGGAAAAGATGTTTTTGCTCTTCTCCCGACTGGTTTTGGCAAGAGTTTGATCTATCAATTGGCTCCTCTTCATCGTCGCTCTGTTAGTAGGTCATATGCTTCGTTGATCTGATTGGTTTATTTGGCCCGTCTATCACCAACATAGGCCAATCAGCTAACCAGTATTTTCGCCCCTTCTCAAAATTACTTCAACGGAAGGTTTTCAGATGGATATGCGGAGCAAATCCATCTGGCAGAGTCAGGTTAGAGTAAGACGGCTCTGTTTCAAACAAATATTTGGTTCATTTAAAAATATAGAATTTTACTTTGCCCCCTATTCTGTGCTCTTTTTGTTTCCTGATCTGAATTATTTTTTTTTTAAGTTATAGTTATGGGAAATCAGCAGGTTGGAGGTTCACATCTTTTACAGACATCTTTCATCAGTGCATCTCTACTGAAATCAACCATTAAGAGCAGGTAAATTAATTAACAAACTGAGGTAATATTGATGTTTTTTTTTTCTTTACATTAGATGAGTATGAGACCTAACTCATTCAAAGAGTAAGGCAAAAAATGGATTTTTAGATATTGACATTGAAGAATTACATCCACAGTACCAATCTTTCTATGTAAAAGAGCATAACTGAAAATATCATGATCCAACAGCAAGAGCTGATCTGCTAAAATCCAAACAACAATCAACTAGCAGCACCATTTCTATTAAACCACTCTGATGAATTTCCTGCTCTGCTGCGCTCACAGCAGAAGTCATGAAAATTACTTGACAGCTCAGAGGTTTGTTGTCAGTGTTGATCGGCACATATGTGGTTTTGCAACTATCAGTAACCCTGAGTCTGTGTGCAGTGGGAGAAAATCTTTGCAAGGAGGTCAGGCGGAGGGTGAGGCTCAGGATTCTGTCAGGGGCAGTTCATAGGTGGGCGGGAGGTTACCAACAGCTGGGCTGGGGCATTGGGTACTCACAGAACTACTTCCACATGGTCCAACGCCCACTGGTCATGTCCTGCACCATCGTGTCTTGGCTGCCACCATCTCAGCATCACCCCTTGAACCCTCGCTTCCCTGCAGAGGGAAAAAGATTGTTGTGTTAGTTATTAAAGAAGCAAATACCAGGATTTTTCACCTGTATAAAACTAATACAACCTTTAATTTATACATTCGTAAAAACAGGGTAGTTTTAGGTCAGTCGGTATATTCATTTGCTTATTTAACTTTAGTTTTAAGTTAGTTATAAAATAAGCTTTGTTTTCCATAATTAAATAGACTCATAAAGTAAATTTTGCTGATTACCTAAAAGTAAAAAAACAACAATCCCCTGGACTTTGTTTCCAAGTTTGAAGACGTTCCTCTTCTAATCCAGGGAAAGTTTTCAATTCAAAATATCAGAATTAGCGTTGAGTTCGAGGTTTTAAACAGTAGCCCAACAACATGCAAATTGAAGCGGATGAATGGGTCCAACTCTTTTGAATGGGGGTTGCTTGGCTTCTTTTGTTAACCTGCAACACGCCATACCTGTCTATGTCTCAGAATTAGGGGTCGTTAAAGGGAATTGTTGGCCTGGCTGAATAGGCGAGGTCTTCTGTTCCCCTGTAAAGGGGTTTTATTTGCAATAATAGCAGCCTAACTATCGCTATCGTCTATCATCACAACTGAATTAATCAATATTGTATTTATTTCAAATGCAATGGAAGAAAAATAATACTTGCTTATATGATTCCTTGCAAACGCATTGAGTTAAATCACAACCACAAGCTTTAATGTTTTAATTGGGATTTTATCTAATAGGGCAACAAAAAAATTTCTTTGCCTTGAAGTTAAAGGAAAAATGCTGTTACTAATTTGACTAATTTTAATTCACTTGTCTAAGTTTTTTAGGAAAACTTTCTATCACCTTTGCAAATATATAGCCTGATCTCCTCAGTTTGTTCAGTTGTTGAAGATTATTCTATTTTTATTTTAAATAACTGTTACATCTGTAAATTTCTATATGTGTTCACTCTTCTGTGTGGGTTAGCCAAAATGCACATTACTATGCTGACATATGGTGGCCAGCAGAGATGGGAAGTAACGAAGTACAAATACTTCATTATTGTACTCAAGTAGATTTTTCTGATATTTTTACTTTACTTTACTACTTATTTTTATGGCGACTTTTTACTTCTACTCCTTACATTTTTACACAAATATCTGTACTTTCTACTCCTTACATTTTAAAAAATTGGCTCGATACTTTAGTTTTGAATCATTTCAATGGAGTTACCGTTATTATTTTTCACGTCATCAATACCAAATTCAATCTAATTGGATGGGAATCTACGTTGCATTTGACGCACCACTACAAGATGAATCGACAGATTCGGCGGTATTCATTGGCGGCAAATCATTGCAGCTTGGTGGCGCTGGCGTTAGCATAGTAGCATGGACAACGAGATGATTGAAAATGAACACAACGGAGATCTAGTCCTATTGGCAGACATCCATTTAAAATGTAGGCAACGGCATGAAAAAAGTGGTTTCTACTTTTACTTTTATACTTTAAGTAAATTTACAAGCCTGTACTTTGTTACTTTTACTTGAGTAAAGAAGTTTAATCAGTACTTCCACTTTTACCAGAGTATTTTTTAACACAAGTATCTGTACTTTTACTCAAGTACGGAAAGTGAGTACTTTTGCCATCTCTGGTGGCCAGAGCGGCTCCAGCATCACCTTATATGGTCATGTTGTAGGCCAGGGGTGGGCGATTCCAGTTCCTGAGGGCCGGTATCCTGCCACTTTTAGATGTGCCTTTGGTTCAACACAACTTAATCAAGTCATTAGATGATTGAGAGGACCCTGAAGGAACTGACTGCCTACTGAGGAGGTAACTCAACCATCTGATTCAGGTGTGATGGACTAAGGATGGATCAAAAAGTTGCAGGATACCGGCCCCCAGGAACTGGAATTGCCCACCCCTGTTGTAGGCTGTGTGAGAAGGACAGGGGGCTCCTTGGGACCCTTTTAGATAAAATAGGAAAGTGGGCAGAAACTCTCTGCCTTTCAATGGGTTTATCCCTGAAATGTACTAGATGTAAGGGCCTAATAGAAGGTGAGATATTCCTCTGCAATTTGTGCTTGTATCAATGATTTTGTCAAACTTGACCGGAATAAATTCTGTTGAAGCTTAAACACGTTTTCCTCCTTTGTGTACGCTTTCTAAGAAACAATTCCTCCACGGATCTTGCCTCGTGAGACCATCCTGATCTCGCGAGCTTTCAAGGTTTCACTCGCTAATCAGTCTGGAGACTCTCCGTTAAAGAAAATTTGGAGCCGTTCACCAAACGAGAAGCGTGACAGTTCAGTCTAAAGAACATGGCGGCTTCAGCCGATGAAACTAGCGTTAGCGTGGCTTTCCAGCAAGTTTTATCAGAATTACAGAGTATTTCTTCACTGAAAGAAGAGCAAAACACTGCTCTGGAGGCTTTTCTCAGAGGAAAAGATGTTTTTGCTCTTCTCCCGTCTGGTTTCGGCAGTAGGGAGAAGAGCAGATATATATTCATAGTTAATTTACTCATATGCACACACTCACAGTGGAATGTTGTAGGAAACTCTCTGGGCTTTTATGAAGTCTTTGGGCTGATGCTGGGCAATAACATGCCAGCTGACTCCATTGTTGACACTGTACTGCAGCAGCACGGCCCGGTCCATTGTGTCGGCCTGATCCAGCGCTACGTTGCAGCTGTCTGTTTGTGCCACGCTGCCGATTTGCAGCACAAACATGATCTTACTGGAGACAAAAAGGAGAATGGATTACAGAAAAGAAATGTTGGCGTGGAGATACCTGATCTGTTTGAAGGATAACCAATAAAAGAGTCTAGAAAACATAATGTTTTCTTCTAATGATTTGCTTATTAATGTTTGGTAGTACCTGTACCTGGCTCTAGTGAGGTCCAGCGGTTTGGTAACTGCCTGCCTCAGCTTACAGCCACTAAAGTAGAGCGAGTCTCCGTGAGCATGAGGGGACAGCTGCCCACAGCCGCTGCCCACTCCACCGCCGTCGATAAGCTGCCAACTCTCTGGAGACACCGCACCAGATTCAAAGTTATCTTTGATGGAGCTTGGCAGCTCTGTGCTTGAGAGGGAGCAGTCATCACCTGTTGATTAGACACATGAAAGGGGATGTATAAGAAATGTTTGAGAATAAGATTTCTACAAACTAAACAGGGATCCTTATGGTAAAAGAAATTTTTTTCCAGAATACCGTTTTTTTTTTTTAACTCACCGTGGTATCCCTCATCACAGATGCAGACCAATCCACTTGTGCAGTATCCATGGCCACTACAGAGCCCTGGGCATGCCTCTCCGATGTAAACATTATCCACTCCCCAGCTATGCCTCTCTCCCGTTCCTTCCTTCTGAATCCAGCGGAACTGGGTAGCTCTGCAACATGAAACAACTTTCAAATCCTTTACGCTGATGCAATGTATATCAAACGGCCAACCTGTGAAATAGTTGTTCTCGTCTCTTTACCCTGAGGAGACGTGATCTGGCAGCTGGACTGTGACCCGTGTCCATGTTGAGCTGTTCACTGGACTGTAGATTGTGGATTCGTGAAACTGGAAGGGGGAGCAGCCTGCATTGTTTATGGAGGACGGGAGACACTCGGACTGGACCAGCTGCCATGAATCAGACCTGGAGGGAAGCAATCATGAGCCAAAGGGGGGAGCTTGGGAATCTTAGAGAAAGGGCTTCTGTACATGTAAAGTTACTCTATCATATAGAAACGAGGTTTAAAAAGAGCAACTATTTAAAACTAGGTTGAACATATTGATTTTAAACAATTTTAAGAACTTTTTCCACAGACTAACTAAAGGTATACTGGAAAGGAAAAGCCATGCATGTGGCATTCTTTCTATTTCCAGAGTAAATGAGCTTCAGTCTCCAAAAGTATTGAGATATTGGCTTTATTTTAACCTCCTATCCCACATTTGGCCCGGTTCTGGACCCAGCTAAGGGCTGGACATGGACTGCACACAGCATGCCAGATGTAAAATAAGTAATGGCAGGTTTAATTTGTGTCAAATCTAACCGGTTTTTTACTAAAGAAGCTATAAGCCCTTAAAGCAGCAGCCATTCAAAATGGCCCTCCCCTGTCAAAAGCCAGCTGAATGGCAGCAAAATCTCCTCCAACTTCCAGCCACTGGCCTTCTCCTGGGTGTGCATATTTTTTTACTCTGACTCCAGCCTTTCACCGAATTACAGGGTCTGACCAGGATATAACATTTCTCTTTAGATCTTAATGTCCACAAATCATGACAGAAAGAATATTTTAGGTAATCAAAAATGAACAGTAGGGGACCAGTGATGGGATAAACGGTGTTACTAACGCCGTTACCTTTTTTAGTAACGAGTAATCCAAATTATTATTCTTACTGTAACTATAACGCAGTTACCATTGCCGACACCCCCGTTACTGCGCGTTACTCAGGTCGCACAATTAACCTTTTTTCATGATAGGACTCGTGCGCCTTGTCATGAGAGAGGGGGGGATGATATTGGCTGTTAAGGGTGTTAACGCAGAGAGAGATGGAGAATGAGGAGGACTCCAGCGATCTGCGTTTCCCCATCAGATAGTTTCCCCTGCATGTCCGCACAGCGCAGGCGGCACGATTCACCGCGCTAGCGACAGGAAATGAGCATGCTCGCTAAAGGCCCGTAACAGCCGCGCTGTGCTCGCGCCACAGGGGAACTACGGAGAGCGTGAACGATCTAATGTTGGATGGATGGATGGACTGGGTTTATAGGCCCATCAGATAGCGTTCCCCCCTGATGTCATTTACTTTAAGTTGCAATAAATGCAAAACTCTCTGCAGGTTCTTGTCTTTGTCGTCGTCTCTATTCAGCTGGCTTTTGAAACACACGGCGAGAAGGTGGGGGCCAGGTGGTGAGGGTTACGGGGGCGAGAAACACAAAAGTAACGCAATAGTTACTTTTACTAGTAACTAGTTACTTTTATTGTGTAGTAACTCAGTTACCTTTTGGGAGAAGTAACTAGTAACTATAACTAATTACTTTTTCCAAGTAACGTGCCCAACACTTTAGGGGACTAGCCAAGGACCAGCCAAGGGCCCATCAAGGAAAGTAGGGAAATTTTAAATGGCTACTACTGTATGTTGAGCTAAGGGACCAGCTAATCTGTATTTAGACTAAATAAAGATGTCAAGACAGTTAACTACTTATAAAGGACTACTTGCCTATTCCCTTTATCATAAAAAAATACATCCCATGTAGAGCAGATCCATCAGTAAGTGTACCATGATCTAATGCCATTAAATGATTCATGCAGGGCTTTTCGCTTTGAATTATCTTACCGTGCGTCTTTTCTGTACTGTAGCAGGACAGAGTGATGGTCATCACATGTGTCTGCCTCACAGCCAACCACGATCTACAGAATAGGTACATGTTATGACTTGGATTTTATAAAAACAGATGCAAATATGAGCAAGATCCAGCTTTTTTTTTACTTTGAACTGTAAAATATATCCGGGCTGCACTATAAGCTCTTGGGTAGCGAGGATGTTATGTGTCCTGTCTTGGTTTTTGTTTGGCCAGTAGAGGTGAAATGAGGGATTTCCACAGAAGCCAGCGGTGCGCACGGCGTTAGGATAGAAGCTCCAGCTTTCTTCATGAGAAACGCCCTCTAGTGAAAGCAAAACAAATAGTTTATCAGAAGGAGGAACTTTTAAAGGGATTAAACCAGGGTCTTCATTGATTGATCGATGACTATATAATCAGATTGCAAATCACCATCATCAAAGGTGTCCAGAAGTGTGGATGGATTGATGTCGGATCCTCCAACCAAGATGTTGTCTATTGCCCACTGAGCTCTTTCTAGGCTTGGGGTAGCCAAGCCTGAAGAGATGGTGAAAGGCTGCCACCATCGCAGGCGTGTAGCGTTAGTTAGAGCCCCCTCTGGTAGAACAATATAATCTCTCCTCACTGACACATATTTGAGGTAATCCATCTCATGTAGCAGTGTCCACGACACACCTGAGTATTTAAGGAATTCAGTTAGATACAAATAAAGAGATAAAAAAATACACCATCATGTCCATGTTCACCTAGCCTCGTGAGACCATTCGGATCTCGCGAGCTTTCAAGGTTTCACTCGCAGATCAGTCTGGAGACTCTCCGTTAAAGAAAATTTGGAGCCGTTCACCAAATGAACGTCCAATCAGCGTGGGCTTTGAGGCGGGTTGAGGTGTGACGCAACGAGAAGTGCGACAGTTCAGTCTAAAGAACATGGCGGCTTCAGCCGATGAAACTAGCGTTAGAGTGGCTATCGAGCAAGTTTTATCGGAACTACAGAGTATTTCTTCACTGGAAGAAGAGCAAAACACTGCTCTGGAGGCTTTTCTCAGAGGAAAAGATGTTTTTGCTCTTCTCTCGACTGGTTTCGGCAAGAGTTTGATCTATCAATTGGCTTGTGGTTGTGTTTTCGTCGCCGCTCTGTTAGTACGTCATATGCTTCGTTGATCTGATTGGTTTTTTTGGCCCGTCTATCACCAACATATTTCAATCAGCTAACCAGTATTTTCGCCCCTTCCCAAAATTACTTCAACGGAAGGTTTCCAGATGGATATGCGGAGCAAATCCATCTGGCGGAGTCAGATTAATGTTCACCTCCATCAGTGGAGTAATCCAGCAACACCCCCTCTTTGCGGCAAGTGGGGCGATGGCACATAGTCATGTTGTCTTCACTTCCAATTCTGGCCCAGTATTCCACAAACCTATGTTAGAAAAACATGAAATGTGCATCTGAGTTAAGGAGTCAGACCAAATAGAAATCTTTTCCCAGAGAGTAACAGGAATGAAAAACTAACTTTGCCCCCCGGAGGTCTAGATCCGCAGTGACAGCCTGTCTGGCATCAGCTCCTCCAAAATACAGAGCGGTGCCTTCCACCAGCACTCCACAGTCAGTGCAGGGCTTCCCACCCTCCAGCACCTGCCACTGAGGTCCTGCTGCTCCTTCCCAGTCAAAGCGCTCCTTCAAAGATGCCTGCAAAAAAACAACAACATGTCACACAACATTTTGGGAATGTACTTACTCATCTGTATCTTTGTCACATTTTATCAATGTACAACTACAAAACTGCAACAAATTTTTGGGAGGTATATAAAACAGGTTGATAAAAGCTAATTTATAAAGCAAGAATGCTGAAGACAAAGAAAAACTTTATATTCTTAAAATAAACTATGGTTGTGTCAGGAATCCAGTTTGTGTGGTCTGTTTTTGTGTTTCCTTTCCTCCTCCAGCAGGTGGTCCCCCATCCTCATTGGGTCTCCCTGCACACCTACAGCTCATTGCCTCAATACCTGTGGAGAGTTCTTAAGCTGCTGACTGCCACTACCTCGACGCCAGAGTGTTTGCCAGTACAGGGTACTCTAGCCATGCTTAGTTTAGCAGAGTCTAACCTGAGTTTTTGTTTGCCAGTTTTGGATTCTCTAGTTAAGCAGAGTTTTTGTCAGCCTGAGTCTTAACTTTGTTTTTGTCTTTGCCTCTTGGCAGGAAGTCATCCTGCAAACTGGATTTGTTCTTCTCTCTCTGGAAGGTTCAACTGAGCTTCTAACTGAGCTGGGGTTCCAAACAGGAAGTTTGGACCCACCTTCCCCAAGAGGTAGTTTGAGCTTCACACCAAGCAAAGGTTTCATCTGCACCGCAGCCCGTTCAAGTTCAAGTTCAAGTACCGCAGGAAATCAGAGTGGCAGTCAGCTTCTCCGTTCACTCCAAACAGGAAGTTTGGATCAACTTTCTTCAAGAGGTCGTTTGAGCTTCACATCAAGCAAAGGTTTATTCAGCACTACAGCCCGTTCAAGTCCTGCAGGAAATCTGAGTGTCAGTAAGCTTCTCCATTCACCAGGGAACAACTGCTGTCTGAGTAACCCAGTCCACCCATCACCAAACAAGACAATCTCTGGTACAATCCTCACAGTCTGGATTCCATAAAGGACACCTTTTCACTGGAGAAGTGAGTCTGCAGCCTTTTTTCTCCAATTCTAAACCTAAGATTCAAATTTCCCACTAAGCCTGAACTAACCGGAGTGTCTTCCCCTCACCTTCCAGTTCCCGTTGAGCAGTGTTCAGAGCAACACTGGACTCATTCCCTTCTACTCTGAGCAGCACTGGATTCGTCACATTATTCCTAAATAAACATGTTTAAACTAGGGCTGTCAGTTTTAAAGCGTTATTAACGCGTTAACTGCTTTAGACTATAACGCCCAAATTTTTTTTAACGCACGTTAATTGCACATCAAAACAAACGCACCGTGCGCTGTTGTTCTTTATTTTTCCGCAGCGCTCGTTGTACTGTTTGTTTTACCCTCGGCGCTTTCCGTAGCTTCAGGAATGCTAAGTTTTGGGAGAGACCGCAGCATAACAGACCCGTGCTTTGAATGAGCAAAAATGGCCAGCAGACAAGGTATCCTGAATGATAAGTTTCATTTTAAAGTTATCCCAGAAGGCTGTCTTGACAAAACCTGAGTCCTATGTCTATGTTGTCCAGAAGAAACGAGCATCTCACTGACTTAGTGCCAACAAGACAAAGAAATAAATTAAGTCATGTGGAATGCACTGCTGCTGCAGCTCCTGTTCAGACCAAAGGAATATTAAAGCATTTTGAAAATGTTCTACATGTAAAATGTTATGTTGTTGAGATGACTGCAAAGCCCAGTTATTGTAAATTCGTTGATTCGTTTGATTTATTATTTTGTGAGTAACTTCATTTTATTTGAATTAAGTCTGAATTTCATAACGGAATGTGCACTTTATTTTAACAGTACATCTTTATTTTTGTCCAATGTTTGAGAAAAAACTTAATTTTATGGAGTTCTTTGAAGTACTGTTTACTATTCTGTAGTTTTGTAATTTTTTTTTACAATTTTTGAATAATTATTGGCTGAAATTTAAACCAGGATATTTTTATTGTAGTTTTTTAAAAGTGCTTTAAAAAAATAATAATAAAAAAAACTTATTGTATAAGCAAGTTTTTTTTACATTATTGCACATTTGCATTTTTTAAAATGCCCAAATAAAATAAATAAAATAAAAAGATAAAATATGCAATTAATTTGCGATTAATCTTGAGTTAACTGTTGATATTATGCGATTAATCGTGATTAAAATTTTTAAGAGTTTGACAGCACTAGTTTAAACTTTTCCCTGGTCTCTCTATTTGGTCTTCTGCATCTTGGGGTCAGACCTTTAATATAATCGTGACAGGTTGCATTATACACACTTTGATCTAAGCTCCTTTTACTTTTGATAGCATTGAGTTTCTTCTTCATTCCAGACACATTATTACTGTCTCTAAAAGCCATTATTCCCAGATTGCCCTGAATTTAGCTTCCTCAATCATCCTATTTTCTGACCAGAGTCTCTGTTCCTGCTAAAGAAATCTATTGCAAATAGCATATTGAATAATGCAGCCTCTACCATGTAAGGTCATGTGCATTATTAGTGTTTTGCACAACTTCTCAATATGATTCAGACAGTTTAACGCATGGGTTGTTATTTACACTATTACTATTCTTTGCTGCTTCCCCCTGTTGGCCGTAGTTTGCAGTTGTACCATACTCCTACACATTTTTTGTATGATAGATTGAACATAAACCTTGGATACTTAGACTTAGACAAACTTTATTGTCATTTTGTACACACAGAGTGTATGCAAAACAAAATTACGTTCAGTGCAGCTCTCAAGACATTTCCATTACAAAAGTGCAGCAGTGATAAAATGTAAACATGGTGATCAGATGTAAACACAAAACTTAAGTTATGATTTGGAGTTTTTCCAACATTCATTGCTTTTTTTTCCTCCCCATTTCATTCAACATTCAGCAGTCTAATGGAGGTGAACCTGCATGTCTTTAAAACTTTATCCTTATTCTTCTGGTATATTCCTAATTTATGACTGTTTGTTCATTAATGTTTTATTTCAAGACTTTGATCAAATTTGCATATTTGCATATTTTAACCTATACTTTTCGTTTAGGTGTTAAATTACACTGTGAACTATATCTAAGCTTAACTCTTTCTCTAAATGTGACATATATTCGATTATAAGCTACCTTAAGTGCAGAACTGGCATAACAGTTTGGTCCTGTGAATCCTGGATCACAAATGCAGCGCTGATCCAAACAGTCTCCATGTCCTCCACAGTGGCTGTTGCAAGGCGGGCCGATGTACAGGTTCTCTACCCCCCACTGAATGTCAGAGTGCTGCTGGTAAAACCGAAATCGCACTGCACTGAAGACAACAACAAGCTTTAGTGAATCACATAGAAATGCCTTATTTATACATGAACAGCTCCAAACCAGAAGGCCTTGGGTTCAAACGATGCAGAAATAGTTGGTGTGGGACAACTCACGTTTCAGCCAGGCTGTCTGGCAGCGGATAGACTGCCCTTTTCCAGCTCTCAGCAGGGAAGAAGACTGAAGGCTGGGACACCTGACCACCACAGCGGGGGTCAGCAGGCAGGCACTGAGGGACCAGGTACTTCCATGTGACTCCGAAATCGACTGAATACTGAACGTGAACCTGTCGATCAGCCGGTCGGTCTGGAACACTGCAGCCCACAGCAATCTCAAAGGAACACATATGAAAATTAGCTTAAACTAGAATACATCAAGAAGTATGCAAAATAAATTACATTTTCACAGTAAATAGATGTTTTATTGGCTTAATAATTACCTTGAACTGCATGACCCAGCCTTTGTCTGGAACAATATCATGTGTGACTGCATAAACTTCTCTACCATCAGCATTTCCACACACCATCACCCCATCAGGAGAGTTGCAGAAGCGCTGCACAGAGCAGTCCTCAGAGAAAAGCCAATGATCGCTCACTGAGAACACAAATAAGGCAAATATAAGAAACCCACACAATAAAACAGCTGTTTTTCCACAATTAGAGGTCCTTTTCATGGAGTACCTATTGGTGTTTCTCCCTGTTCATTCAGCTGACCAACCCTCCCTGACGTTTCATCGGCAGGAGCTCTTTCATGGTTAGGCAGAGCCACCCCTCCGAATGTGTCAGAGATCTGGAACCTTGGGTCTGAGCCTGCGATCAGGACGTTATCAAGGGCCCAGTCGCTTCGGTCTGCACCATCATGCTGTGGCTGCCACCAGCGCACCCGCACTCCTTCCTGACGTGCAGCAGGGGGCAGTAGCACATTTACAAAGCTAAGAAGAAAGGCACAAGGAGACAATCGGATGTTTTGCTATACCTGTTGGATCTTGTTGGGTGAATGCAGTTATGCCATAGATGGCATGTTAGAGAATCAAGACTCACCCAGGTTTGGTGTAGAGATCATAGAATATCTCTGTCAGTAAATGCCAGTTAATTCCCCCATTCAAGCTGTACTCTAGGAGGACACCCTGGTTGCGATTGCTGGGAGGGATCATGCAGCCATACATAAAGTAGAACTGGATGAACTCTGCATTTGTCAGGTTTAGGTCCACTGTCACCAGCTGACGGGTACAAGACTGTGCAAAGAGCAAGATGGGGGGGAGAAGTTGAAAAAAATGCTCGATAAAGAACAGATTCCAACATTCTAGAGTATTTCTAAACCCACAAAAAGTTATGCTTTTTAAGACATAGTTTAAATGATCCAAAGAGCTGTAATCGAATTTATTTTAGCACATAACATAAAATGCAGCTCATTCTTTATCTGGCATTAGTGTTCCAGTCCTTCGACCCTCTATAACATTCACATTTTGTTTGTTTATAATAATTAAGTGGTAAATTTGGGATTTTGCATGATTGACAAAAATAAGTTTTCAAACTGATTCATTTTTGTCCCGATCTGGAAGGCTTTTAATGTCCTGCAGCGCTGCACCAGTGCAGCACTTTTAATTGTATCTTGTATGTTTTATATGTGTTATGTATTATTTTTATGGCTTTGTTGTAAAGCACTTTGGGTAACATTTGGCTATTGTAAAGGGCTATACAAATAAATTTGTTTTGATTTGATCTGATGACACCACTTTTACACATGAATATCCTCTGATCTAAAGCCTTTAATTGTTGAGTGGCTCATGCTGTTTAATGTTGCTACCATTCTGGGGGGGGTCATTGCCACCCCGAGTCTCAAATATTCAACTAAAATGTTTTTTTACAACATTGCCCTGAGCTCTGATCAGCTTCCCTATAAAAAGAGAGGAATCCACATTGCATAATGCAGCCATCACTATGTTTTCCATTAACAATGATAGATACAGAGTCTACTTCTAACATTTGATAATTTGCATCTAAGCCAAATTGTTCTCTTTTGGTCTCATTGGAGGCTTCTTGAAAATCTTTGCACTCTTGTCTTATTTATTTTTAAAGAATCAGTCAATTGTTATCACTACACACTGCTGTGTATAAATAATATCCCATTGCGATACATTAATGTCATTGATTGTAAAATACCAAGCAAAAAAAAATCAAGCATTTTAAACCTATTTGCAATAAAACCAACATCAGACAGCAACCCAAGTCTAAAACTACATTTATGTTCAACCACATAATAAAATCTATAATGAATTTTACTTGAGCTCAAATTAAAATCTTTTTGCATGGTTAACTATTTAACTTTCTTTCATTTTTTGATTCCTGTAAAAAGACATTTGTAGGTTTGAATGCAGGAATTTCCATTTTTTTTTTTTAGAAAATGTTGCCTTCTGTTTGAACCAAAGCACTAAAGTGTAACCTAACAAAAACGGTTAAATGAAGGTATTTCACATAGTCTATTCTGTACTAAAGTGTTACTATCATGCCTTTTGTATCTCTGCTTCTTTTTCTATATCTGCTTCTGTCTCCTTGAACCCCAGTCAGCCTCAGCAGATGGCCGCTCACACTGAGCCTGGTTCTGCTGGAGGTTTCTTCCTGTTCAAAGGGAGTTTTTCCTCTTCACTGTCGCAACAAGCATGCTTAGTGTGAGGGATTGCTGAAGAGTCAATGAGTCGATGCAATCAACTGGTTTTTCTTTCATAGAAAACTTTGAAATGCCTTGAGATGACATGTGTTGTGAATTGGCGATATAGAAATAAACTGAATTGAATTGAATGTACACATTCTGCAATTTAACAAACCAACAAATGTTACATAATACAAATATCAGAATCTATTTCAGACTGGATCTAAAGCCAAATGCAGACCTACCCCACTGAAGTGCAGGGCAGCTCCAGAAGCCACAGCTCCACACACAGAGCTGAGCTTCCCACCGGTGAGGATGTGCCAGTGACTGAGTGAGGGAGCTCGACTGAAGCTGTCCTTCAGCTGAGACGGCAGAGGAAGCACCGGCTCGTCACAATACTCTCCTCCCCACTCTGGGTCACATCTGGCAAGGATGGGGAATTTAGAAAGAAACGGACACATTTCAACAAGAACTAAACAATGAAAATATTGATTGCCAAACATTTGGCAACTTTGCAGGCTGGAGAGAAAAATAGAAAGGCAAGTAAAAAAAGCACAGAATTTTTTTTATTCTATTTATTAAGGGCAATTTTACATTCAGTATTAAAACAATCGTTTTTAACACCTTAATGTAGTCTTAAACTATTAAGGACTTATTTTTTATGCCTTGCAAACCACTGAACTGAAAGATTGTGTCTTTTTTTTAATCATATACCTTAGTATTAACTACTGTTGCACCAATACCAGTATCAGGCGGGGCCCCGATCCAGCACTAAAATGGTGGTATCGGTATCGGCGAGTACGAACAAATAGGGCACCGATACCATTTTGAGAGGCAAATATTTATTCAACTATTGTCACCCATTCCAGGTAGGCAATAAAAAGTTCTACTGGATTCACTTTGTTTTAGTCTTTTTCCTGCTTCACAAAGGTAGGCAGCAGCTTGACAAAGTCATGATGGCATTTATTTTACGTCCTAGTAGTCTGCAGTTCTTCATATAAACACACACACATGAATTTCATACAAATGGTATCGGTATTGGCCAATACTGCACCGCCAGGTATCTGGTATCGGGGCCAAAAATGGCATCAGTGCAACACTAGTATTAACACTCCAAATATTTCCAAACTCTATTTTTTAGAGTTATGCATATGTCTTATGTATTTATGTCACTTACACACAGGAGCTCTGTTGGCAGCGTCCATGTCCAGAACACATGTCAGGACAACCGTCACCAATGTAGAGATTATCCAGAGCCCATGTCTGCTGCTTATCAAAGGGAGCCTGTTGGAACCAGCGGAACCTTGTGGCTGGAGATCTAAAAGATAAATCACAGAAAAACATTATAAATCCACTAAAAATAGGTTATATGCATGGTCTTTGTAGTTTTGGGTTTTAGTTGAATAGTTTGTGTCCTCTTTGCATCGTGTTGTGCTCTTTGTGTATTGGGTATTTTGCTGTGGTTTTAGTACTACACATATTGATTGATTGACTTTATTGATCTCAGAGTGGAGAAATTCACTTGTTACATCGGCTCAAATAGTAAAAAAGAGAAGAAGAAGGTGCCAAAGGAAGAAAAAATGCATTGGGGTGCATACAGTATATACAGTGCATCCATACACACACACACACACACACACACACACATATATATATATGACTGCTGAATTTTTTTTTCTTTTTAAAAGAAGGATTATTAAACAGGGTTATTGCACAGGGTATTTACATGGGTATTTATATAGATGGGTATTTATCTATATATCTATATATTGATACTGGGTATCAAATATGAAGAAACAGGTTATTGCACAGGGTATTAAACAGTAATTGAACATTATACATTGCACAAGTTATTGCCGTTGTAGTGTCGCATTGTAGAGTCTGGTGGCAACAGGGATGAAAGACACATGGTAGTATGATAAAAATGATCATTGTTGGTAGTTTAGTTAAGTACTCTCTCCTTCAAGTTACATTATTCTGGTTCAGAAAACTGGCTGTGTGTTTTACATGTGGTCTTTGTAAGTCTAATGATAAAACATTTATTGCTAAAGGCTCCAAATTGCCTCTCAGTGTTCGAATGCAGCTGCTGTGTGATTCCCTGTCAGTTTTTTAGCCACTGAGTGGATCAGTAGATCACTATTTGGACCATAACATTATATTATGTTTGTATTTGTTAGGAATCCAGTGTGTGTGGGTTGTGTTTGTTTTTTTGTGTTCTCTACCTACACCACCAGGTGACGTCATGTTCTCGTTGGTCCTCCCACACACCTGCGGCTGGTTGTGCTCATTACTCAGGACTCTTCAGTGGTGGACTGCCACTACCTCGTCGCCAGAGTGTTTGCCGGTTTTGGGTACACTAGCCGAGCTGAGTTTAGCTGAGTCAAACTGAGTCTTTGTCTCTCTGAGTTCTAACCTTGTTTTTGTCTTTGCCGTTTCGGCAGGAAGTAATCCTGCAAACTGGATTTTTGGCCTTCTCCCCCTGAAAGGATCGTTTTGAGCTTCACACTGAGCAGGGGATTAATCTCTACACGACCCGTTCAAGTTCTCCTGGAAATCTAAGTGGCAGTCCGCTTCATTGCTCTTCAACGAACCAACCAAACCAAAAACCTGTCCACCCTCCAATGAGCCCACCAATCTCTGGATAAACCCACACCGACTGGATTCTGGGAAGAGAACCTTTTTCTGCCTCCGTGAGTCCCATTCATCTCTGATTTTTGCAAGACGTGTTCAAAGTTCCCACGGACCCTGAACTAACCTTTGAACTTCCCTCCTCACTTCCAGTTCCGGTTCACCAGCTCTCTGAGTTACCCTGGATCAACCTTATTGATTATTTCAATAAACCTGTTAAACTTTTACTCTGGTTCCCTGAGTGGTTTCCTGCATGAGGGTCAGATCTCTTAAAAACATCATGACAGAATTATGTAGATATTATTGTAACTATTATTGTTCTGAGTTGCCAGTCTGTTCTGGTTTTTATTTATAGAAAGCTAAGTTTATTTAATGCCTTTTCACATATTTCTTAACTTGATAAATATAAATATATATGACTATAGTTAGGTAAAAGCTGGAAGAAAAAGTGCGAAATATCCAGCAACGAAGTCCAACCATATTCTGGGCATTATAATCAGCTCATGTTGGCAAAGCTTGCTGACCTTGCATATAATGGAATAGACAAAGTGACGCGGCCCCACTTGTTGTAGACGTCTGAAACTAGAATCCGCTGCAAAGTGTAGGAGGAGCAGTCTGGACTTGTAGGCAGGCAGTCCCGGACCAAAGGGTGCCAAGTCAGACCCAAATCCAGAGAATACTCCAACTCCACAGCTGCAGAGAGAAGAACAAACTCTTTAAACTTTATTCCTTCATCTATAGTTAATAATATATTATAGAGTCATTTGCAAACAGACAAAAAATATTAACAAACTTCTGTATATTTCTTAATTGTCTAACATCTTCCTTTACCATGAAAATATGCACAATTTAAGTTTTTAAGAATGAAAACATATTTGCTTGTGATTTCCTTTTGCTTACAGTAGCAAGAATTAGTGACAGAGCAGGATGCAGAAAAGTCGAACTGGATGAAAGCATCTTGGCCCAAACTAATGTCAGTAGTGACAGCATATCGTGTGTTAGACTTCTCAATGAATGCGAACGCAGGCCCGTCAGAGCCACAGACTGGCATTCGGGTTCCACCAGGGTGGAGAAGCCATGAGCGTCCGTCGATAGAGGAGAAATCATCTTCGAGTGGTCCCCAGCCACTAGCACTACCACCCACTACCACCTAATGTAAACGGGAGAAATTACAACAGATTACAGATGGAAGAGATATTTTTAATCTGTAGAATATCTCAATGAAGTAAAAAACGTGTGAAATATCTATCTTTATGTACCTGATCTATGACCCATGGGCTGTAAAAATGCCCATTTTCAGACGGCTGCCACCAGCGCAGACGGGTAGCTGTGGTTCTGGCACGCAGCGGGATCTCCAAGGCCACCAGTCGAGCCTGATTACTGGTATTACTGAAGAGAAACTCCTGCAGGAGCCCCCAGGTTAGACCTCCATCCACAGAGAACTGCAGCAGCACAGGCTGAGAACGAGGGTCCGGTGCCGCTTTGCCACATCCGAGACGGAGGAAGAACTGAACAAACCTGCATTGAGAAACCATAAAGCATTATTACTTAAAACTGTAGAACTAAAAGGGAAATACAAGTCTATTTATGGTGATTATTTGAAGTTAATGTACCTTGCATTTGAGAGGTCCATGTCATTTGTAACCAACATGCGTAGACCGTCCTCGCTAAAGAACAGGTGGTTTCCACTGGACATGATGCCACATTTCCTGGATGGTTTACCTCCACTCAGAAGTGTGAAATGCTCAGCATCCACCGCTCCTCCTTAATACAAAAAGATGCAGCAGGTCATAAAAGGGTATAGGTGCTGGTGAAGATTCTCAGTCATCCAGGTGATAGTCATTCCAAAAAAGTTAAAAAACAACCCACTTTGTTTCCAAGTTTGAAGACGTTTCGCTTCCCATCCAGGAAGCAATTCAAAATGTCAGGAATAGGGTTGAGTCCAAGGCTTTATACAGTAGCCCAACAAAGCCATGTTTTTGTTTTGAAAACATCCAAATTGAAACAGACGTACGGGTCCACCCCTTTGGAATGGGGGTCGTTAGCCTAATTCAAATTGCAGGCTATAAAAGTATAACCTGACTCCGCTTGAAACCTTTGGTTGAAGTAATTTTGGGAAGGGGCGAAAATACTGGTTAGCTGATTGGCCTATGTTGGTGATAGACGGGCCAAATAAACCAATCAGATCAACGAAGCATATGACGTACTAACAGCCAGGCTACTCTTGCCGAAACCAGTCGGGAGAAGAGCAAAAACATCTTTTCCTCTGAGAAAAGCCTCCAGAGCAGTGTTTTGCTCTTCTTTCAGTGAAGAAATACTCTGTAATTCCGATAAAACTTGCTCGATAGACACGCTAACGCTAGTTTTATCGGCTGAAGCCGCCATGTTCTTTAGACTGAACTGTCGCGCTTCTCGTTGCGTCACACCTCAACCCGCCTCAAAGCCAACGCTGATTGGATGTTTGTTTGGTGAACGGCTCCAAATCTTCTTTAACGGAGAGTCTCCAGACTGATTAGCGAGTGAAATTTTGAAAGCTCGCGAGATCAGGATGGTCTCACGAGGCTAATAAAAGTAGCCAAACGACCCCCATTCCATAAGGGGTGGACCCGTTCTTCCGTTCAAATTTGGATGTTTTCTAAACAAAAACAAGCCTGTATTGGGCTACTGTATTAAACCTCATACTCAACGCTCTTCCTGAATTGAAAAAGCTCCCTGGATGGGAAGCGAAATGTGTTCAAACTTGGAAACAAAGTCCAGCGGGATAAACGGCTACGATAATGTACATTTATAAAGCCTTCTCTACTATACACTTAATTCAGTTCAAAAACGTGTTATTTAATGTTGCATGCACTGTTTTCCAAACTTAAAACTTCACTTTTTTCTTACTTAATATCACTAAATTTATTTTTGCAAAGGGTAAGTTTTACAGTACAGCAACAGTACTGTAATAGCAACAAACAACTGGATTCTTTCGTACCTTCAAAGTCCTCCTTAAGGAAGTCTGGATTGGGGGTATCGGGCAGAGAGCAGTCCGGTCCAGAGAAACCAGGGTCACAGACGCAATGAGTGCCGCTCACACATGCCCCATGACCATTACACATGTCCTGACACTGTGGGCCTATGTACACGTTATCTAGTGCCCATGTTGGAGGAGCAGAACCAGCTGAGAAGAAACCTTGAAACCAGCGGAACCTTATTGACCTGTGTTTCAAGGACACAAATGTACAATTTATGAAATCAACATTGTAAGGATTTTAGAATAGAATAGAAAATCCCTTTATTGTCCCACAATGTGGAAATTCTGGTGTTTACAGCAGTAAAAGATTAAAGAAGAAGTGGTCACACAAATATGGACCTTAGAAAAATGTATAAGGATACATAATAGTGAAGTGTTACAAGATAAACAATAAAATACTGTAAAGTAAAGTGTTTTAATTAACAATATATTAATTATTATGGACATTTTTACAGTAATGGATGCCTGAAAATAGCACCAACATCAGAGATGTGTAAAATGTCAGCAGCATGTTCTTTAACTGATTAAAATAGAAACTGTGCAAAATCAGCATGAATGTATTTTAATGACTAAATGAGGGGTTTGTCATTGCTGCCCTTACCCACACAGGCGAAACTTGCCAACATGGATTAACTCTCTCCTCCAGCCATGTGTAGTCCCGGGGAAATATACGCTGGCAGGATGAAGTTCTGTAGAGCAAAGGGAGGAGGGCTGAGGACCGCCAGCGCACAGCGGCACCAAAAGGTGCCAAGTAGCTCCAAAGTCTCGGGAAAACTCCAAGCGTACTGGGTGCACCGAGGAGCTCTCAGTTGTACAGCCTACGTTGATCTATAGAAAATCAAATGTGCAAAAGATGAAGCTGAGATCAAAAGGAATTCTTCCTTAGTTAGGATCGTTTCATAGAAGTCTGTGTACCTCAAACTGGATGATGGTGTTCTCATTGACGTCAATGTCCCTGGTGGTGATAGAGTGTTCTCCAAGCTCACTGGAGATGAACACCATGGCTGACTCATCCTCTTCCCTGCATTATTCACACAAACACTAAGGTCAAAGCACAAACTGGGTTTCTATGGGTTTTACCACCAAATAGTTTGTGTGACAAAAGAACCCATCAAGAAGAAGGTAATTTCTAAGACTGAGTTGAGTTTTTCTCACAGGCCGGACTTCTGGTAGGGGCAGTAGAGGCCAGTGTTTCCACCAGGGTAGAAAAGCCAGTTCTCCTCATTGGGGCCTTCCTCAAAAGTGTCGATTACCATCGGTGGTTTGTGTATGGAGCTCCCGTCAATGATGAGATCATCTATCACCCACACCTCTTCCTTTTTACCTTAAGGGCAATATAACGGTAAAATATTTATTCAACCAGTGGTGATTCTTGGGCAAACCTCTCCTTAGCAAACATAATTTAAGCTTATCATATCTGGATGAAGTGAAATTAAAGCCCTGAAGTGCAAACTGCAACTACAAATCTAAAAGCGCAATGATATTAAGAAAAACAAAACTACATAAAGCAAAGCGCAACTACATTAAGGAAAACAAAACTACATTAACCTACTGGAAAAGGTAGGTACCAGTGGGAAACATGAGACATCACTGATTGGACGACGGCGCCGTTTGACCCTTGAACCGGAAGTTGCATCATCTGAACGGGTCAAACGGCGCCGTCGTCCAATCAGCGATGTAGTTGCGCTTTGCTTTATGTAGTTTTGTTTTTCTTAATGTAGTTGCGCTTTTAGATTTGTAGTTGCAGGTTGCACTTCAGGGCCACCGTAGAAATATCAGCTGTGCTGCTACCATCAACATCTTTGTTTATAGATGTTGGAGATTGGCCTGTTTTTCAGTGTAGTCCTGTTTCTCTGACTGTGAGTGTCAGCATATATTTCAGCCTCAGCAGATGGCAGCTCACCCCGAGTCTGGTTCTGCTGGAGGTTTCTTCCTGTTAAAAGGGTGTTTTTCCTCTCCACTGTCGCTACAAGCATGCTTAGTGTGAGGGATTGTATTTGAGTCAATGAGTCGATGCAATCAGCTGGTTTTCCTTAGATAGAAAACTATAAAGTTCACGAGATCATCTGGTCAAATTGATTCAAAGTGCCTTGAGATGACATGTGTTGTGAATTGGTAGCTGAGACCATCCTGATATTGCGAGCTTTCAAGGTTTGACTTGGCTGGCTACTTTTCGTCAGAGAAATTTGGAGCCATTCACCAAACAAACGTCCAATCAGCGTTGGCTTTGAGGCGGGTTGAGGTGTGACGCAACAAGAAGCGCGACAGTTCAGTCTAAAGAACATGGCGGCTTCAGCCGATGAAACTAGCGTTAGCGTGGCTATCGAGCAAGTTTTATCAGAGTATTTCTTCACTGAAAGAAGAGCAAAACACTGCTCTGGAGGCTTTTCTCAGAGGAAAAGATGTTTTTGCTCTTCTCCCGACTGGTTTCGGCAAGAGTTTGATCTATCAATTGGCTCCTCTTCGTCGTCGCTCTGTTAGTATGTCATTTGCTTCGTTGATCTGATTGGTTTATTTGGCCCGACTATCACCAACATAGGCCAATCAGCTAACCAGTATTTTAGCCCCTTCCAAAATTACTTCAACGGTAGGTTTCCAGATGGATATGCGGAGCAAATCCATCTGGCGGAGTCAGATTAGTGAATTGGCGCTATAGAAATAAACTGAATTTAATTGAATTCCTTAAAAATCGAAAATATTCCTTTAATATAAAACCAGAACTGAATAATACATCCAATTTGGCTGCGTTACTTAATAACTAAAATAAAACTGGAAAGTATTTAAGTAACTAAATGTGTGTTTGGGATGAGCTAAACTGCCTTTAGCTTCTAAATGAATCGGATACTTTTTTCTTAACTGCCTTGAGCTAGTATTTATTTTGGTACTACTAAATTAAAAGTAGAGCTGTGCTGTCTGCTTACCACTGTTGTAAGGCTGCCACAGTCTGAAACGGGTGGCATTGGTCTGAGCACTGGCTGGCAGAGGCAAGTGGAGGAACAGAGTGTCTGTGGAAGCTGGGAAGTAAAACTCATCCAGCAGGAGCCAGCTGATTCCTCCATTTACAGAGTACTGCAACAGCACCGAGTGGGAGCGCTCCGGGACTCCTGCAGAGGCCCAAAGGGAGAACAGTTACAGCAAAATCGGTTAAAAGTTAAAAGACGATGTCGCATAACCGTAGCAACAGCAAGTAAGTGAGCACCTTTGGTTATAAACTTGAAAGAGAACTGGATGTAGAGAGTGTTAGAGCAGTCTAGGTCCCTTGAAACAATCATACGAAGTCCATCCTGTGAAAAACCAGGAAAAAAAGTGTAATTGTTATTTAAATTTTGAAGACATGTTTCGATTGCTTTCTGCACGTGTCCATTGAACTTACTCCTTTGAAAATAAGAGCAGTGCCAGATTTAAGTGGCTCCCCACTGAGGGTCCCTCTCTCTGCTCCATAAACTTCAGGCCAGGTCTCCTGTTGCAGATTCTCATTAAAGTCTTCCCTTAGCACCGACGGCAGCGGAGACAAAGGTACACAGTGCGCTCCTCCGTACCCTTTATCACATCTGCAGGAGAATGAATAAAAAAAGACGAAGTAGAAACCATTTAAACCAGGTAGGACATTTAGAAATGAGGCAAAATTAAAGGAAAAACCAATTAGTAATGCAGAAAGGGTCGGTTTTACATACACACAGCGTCCATTGTCACACAGCCCATGTCCAGAGCACATCCATGGGCAACCGGGGGCAAGCAACACATTATCTAACGCCCATCCCTCTGCTCCTGGGGTGAAGTGGGTCTGGATCCAACGGAACCGAGTTCTGGGGGAACTTTTGTACAAAAAAAAGGAAAACAAAACCTATTGGTTATATCTGTATTTCATCTTTTATTAATAGTGACATACCTTAAAACATGGGAATCTACAATTATTACTATTTGAAATAATCTTATAACCTGGTAAAGAGAAAATCACATCTATGTAATAAAGTTTGATCATTTATAGAAGGTGTACCCACTCTTATTAAAGACTATTATTAAATTTAATCATTAATAAAGGTTTTATTTGCTTGTGGGGCTCCAAAAACACATACTTAGCAGCACTGGGCAGGTAGACGGTGATTCTCCTCCAGTGTTTGTGTTGGGTTGACGTGTAGACAGAGCTCTGAGTGTAACCAGCGCAGCCGATGGCTGGAGGCACGCACTCAGGGGTAATAAGAGTCCAGTGGCGACCGCAGTCTGTTGAATACTCCAATCGGACCCCGTGGGAGAAGGACGTGGACTTACTGCAGCCCATACTCAGCTCAAACTGGAGGAAGGAGGAGCCGGTCACCTCAAAGTCCCAACTTTCTGCATATCTTGGTTTTTCTGTAAGCACAGAGAAAGACAGCCGTATAATTACTATCATTATCTTACTGTAATCTGAATTATTTCTATTTTCCCCATACAAATAAATTAATGATAATTCAAGGATTTGTGGAATATTTTTTGAATGTGATAATGATGATGATGATGACTAAAGCTGAGTACTGCTCAGTTTAAACTCTTTGGGCACTCATATTGAATGCATAATGCTTTGCCAAACTTTTCTTTTGATTTCGCCAGGTTCTTTTGGAGGTTTCTTCCCACTGTTGCTACGTGCATATTTGTAATGTGAGATTGCTGCATAGTCAACGACACACAATGATCAACTTGCCACTAAAGATACACTTTCATGCAGGAGAATTAATTCAGTGAAGTCATTGAATCAGTGCAACCTGTTGTGTTTTGTTCTAGGCAGAAACCTATTTAACCTCTTCAACAATTAATCTGTATGATTTGATGCAATTAAATCTGAAGGGTGCCTTTATATGAAATTTTGTGAAATAGCACTATTTACATTGACTAAATTGAATTTCAAATTTGAGCTACAGAATTTTTCACAACAATTACAGCTGCAAATCCTTCAAGGTACTGTGCAGTATCTTTACCACTGTTGCGTATTGAGAGCTGACATTTTCTGTACAGTTCTTGCAAAACCCCTCAAATGAGTCAGATATGGGAGAATTATCCTGCCATAATGCAAGAGCACATAATTTCAATTTGAGAAAGGAATTTCATCTTCTTGCACTCAAAACTTATAATGCTCACACTCAAAACATCTCTCTCAAATATTTTCTCTTTTCTCTGAAATCTTTGTTTCTTCTCTCAGATTTAATGCTTCTTGCACAGATATTTTCTCCTCTCGCTTGCCTCCTTCTCTTCGTGCACAAACCGCGCTCTGCTCGAGTCTCAGATACGCTCGCAAACCCGTAGGCTCTGCTTGCGGATTTTTTTTGCTCTCTCTCGGATTGCAGTTGGATCGTCGCCTAGCAACCTTTCCAGCCAATAGAACGACGTCCTCAGAAAGGGTGCGCTTGTCTAACCCTACTGAGTGTGCCTGTGCTACTACGCCACTTATAAGAGCGTCAGCTGAAACTGCTATTTACAGTAGTTTTGTCGCTCGATTCAGCAAAGTTCAGTACTTATGGATAACTCAAACAATTCTGAAGTAAGTAATTTTAAACAATTAGTGGTTTGTTATGTACAAAAGCAAAGAACAGACATATTAAATTATTATCTTGAAATACTTTGTTAGTATTGATTTCAAAATGTAGGGGAAAAAATACATTTTTTACAAAAAGTTAAAATGTTGGATAGTGTGAGCATTATAAGTTTTGAGTGCAAGAAGATGAAATTCTTTTCTCAAATTGAAATCATGTGCTCTTGCATTATGGCAGGATAATTCTCCCATAGTCAGAATCCATGAGGAGGATCTGAGAACCAGGTTCTCCGATGGATTTAGATCTAACTGGGGCCAACAAATTTCATCTTTTGGGTTTCTTTGTAACATAAGATGGGGGAATTGTTG